GCCTCGCCTCCCTCGAACGCGCGACACAGTAGCTAAGCAAATAGCCTGCATCGCTAATGAGATTTTTTGCATTATTATCATTTAATTTTTTAAGTCGTCTTACCTGCTCGACCTTTCGTCATGTCGTTTATCACACAAGCTACTGTAACGCGCCTTGGAGGGAGGCGAAGCCACGCCCCATATATATATATATATAGATATATTCGGTTTTACTCTGAACGGACTGTATATACACCTATAGGTGTTGTAGTAGTATACTGATAATTATATTGTTCCAAATTTCTTTATAATTTGAATATATTAGAATTGTGTGTATGTTATTTTTGTGTTAATTTATGTAAGTAGGTATTTGTTAATTTTTTTGTTTAGGAAATTGATTAATAAAGCAACATTTCTTATAAATATTCTTTTCATTTAAGTTCCCAATTTCGAACAAATACTTTTGTTATTGGGTCTACAGCAAGGTTTGTTGAATTATTGATATAGGATTTTGTTATTGAATCTACAAAATGTTTGTTATAATTACAAACTACTTATTCAATTAGTTGGTGGTAAACTAAACATAAAGGTATGTGGACCAAGATTAACATAAAATCTGGTTAATATTTTGCTAAAATTAACAATTTTTTTACTGTGTAAAAGTGGTTCAATCGCGTGAAACCCTAAAAAAACACCCTATCTTGATGTAATCCCAATCCTAAGAAGCTCAGCGAAAAAACTCCTAAATTTAATACCATCCATAATCGCGATGGCCTTTTAAAAAGCCCCGTTTAACGCGAAAATATTGTCCATGGTAGGGAATATAGTGAAAGGAAGGGAGAACGATTCTAAAAGGGGTGGTCTGGTCTAGTCGCTGGGATATTTGCCAACGTAACAAGTTTTGTGTCGTGCAGGAAAAAGGGCGCCAGCCGCCGCGGCGGTCCGGCTGACGCTTTTTGCAGGAAAACACACTGGGGGAAAACGGTTTCTCTTCTCATAAATATGTAATTTGTTTGTACCCACCCTTTAACATGAAATACATATCAAATTAGTAATTATATGCCTTTAAAATATGAACACCTTTAAGCCTATTTTTATTTAAAAAAAATAGTTTTTTCTCAAAACAGTGAAAAACATGTTTTTAACTTTTGGGATCTTTAATAGATAAAAAAAAGTAAAAGTAAAAATGTTATTATTAAATGCTGTTAATATTTTTTTATTTAAAAAGAAATATGTGTTTCCCCAAAACTGCAAAATAGTATATTATGTATCTAGTTTTACACTTTATAGAAAAGTTTATAAACGAGGTGCATACTATACTTTTTCTACGATAAATACTTATTATTATCTTAAAATGATTTAAATCATAAATTTGTATATAGAGCGCCATCTAGGAAACAATAGGGGAATCTGTGTGTCACATTTTTATATTTTATAAACAAAGATTATAAAGGTTATAAATCGAAATGTATTTCTTGAAAATTGAAAGTTTTTCACAGTGAAAGTAAAGAAAATACAGTGGAGTCCGTGCCCGAATTAAAGTCATAGTTTATTGCCGGCGAAATTAAAAGGTCAGTACAATGTTCATATAAACTTTTCAAATATTGGCGTTGAGAAACTATTTAATTCTTTTGTATTTTTGTATTGAGAATCTCAATTTGAGATAATAAAATAAATTTCACATTTAGTATTATTTTACAAGAAACTAAAATAATCTCAATTTGAGATAATAAAATAATTTTCACATTTAGTATTATTTTACAAGAAACTAACTTCAGCCCGTGACTAAAAACCTGTTGATAACTCAGCCCGTGACTAAAGCGCCTTAAAGCCACAACTTGTCAATGTGTATTTAAAAGGAAATGGAAACATGGACGATAAAGGGCGCTTTAAAGGTGGGAGTAGAAAAAAAGTATTTATTTTACATATTTTTGACATTTAAATAAAAAACAATTAAAATAAAATTTAAAATAAATATAAAAAGGCTTAGACTCCAGATCGCTGAAAAGGTGTTAAATGTGAACCAAAACATGGCGTCGCTGAACTAACCTCAAACCAATATCTTCAAAACTATGAAGCAATTTAATACTGTAAATAAAGAAAATACACGCCACTGGAAGAAATCTGTCATTGTATTTTAATATTGAAACCTACATCTTTAATTATTTTCCAAGCAAAAACACAAAACAAACTTGTCAAGTTGACATTTTGGTTCACATCTAGCACACTTCACTGTTTGGGTAGAACCCACTTAAAAAAACCCGCAGGGTTCTTTTAATGTGGGTTTTTTCCTTAAACTTTAACTCTTCGATATTTTTGTATATTTTTTTATTTTGCAAAAAGATAAAACATTACATTTTTTGGTATGTAAAAATTTAGTCTTTCATTACAAGAAGTGCACTCTAAAACTAAGAAAAGATCAAACCATTGACCAAACAAAACGTAATTTTAAAGTTCGGGGGTTCCCATGCCGATCTACAGTGTTTGCGACTCACCCCTGTAAAATCTTTATTTATTGTGCGATTTTAACCGGATTTGTGTGGATCTTGATAAACTGTATTTTTGGAGCAAAAACGCTATATTTGTACAAAATACAAGGCCAGTGGTCAGTTTTTAAAAGTAAATTTTTAGGAATTCAAATTAGCGATTTTTTTAAACACGGCACTGGATTCACCACCTCTAAAAACGACCCTATACTAAATTTTTGTTAAAAAATTTTAAGTAGAAAAGTGCACAATATTAACCACAAAAATTTATTCTGTCAAGTTATCCATAAAAAAACATTGAAATAAAATAGTAACATGGTTAATTTTTCTTAGTTATTGTTGTGCATTTTTCTACTTAAAATTTTTCAATAAAATTTAGTAAAGGGTCGTTTTGAGGGCGTTAAAACAAATCCGGTTAAAATCGCACATTAAATAAAGATTTCACAGGGGTGAGTCGCAAACAAATGGGTCACACTGTATACACTTGAATTTTATAGTTGACGAACGACTGCGAAAATAAGTTGTGAAGGAGAAGGTAGTGAATATATTTGAATTTTTCTTATCGACAGTATTTCTTTTTAAATTTTGTTTTTTTACTAGAATTAAATAACCCAATAAAACCCAAAAAGCCCAATGGGTAAAAAAACAGGTTTTTTTCCAACCCTGACTTGTCCACTCTTTCAAAAATTTTCAAAAATTAGTATATTTAATAGTCAGATTATTTATTATAAGAAGTAAACTTTGTAATGGACAAAATAATAATTTAACAAATAACATTTTAATTTTCAATAATTCTTAGTAATTTTATATGGGAAAATTACGCGCGGGGAACGCATTTTTTTTTAATTGTCTGCGTAAAATATAGTTTCAATTTTTCAATTACCTTTTTCTTGAAAGTTTTTATGGGGTGCGCCCAATGTCCCAATTAAATTTATGAATGGTTCAGATATTTATTGTTTAATATTGCGCAATTTTGTCTTTATATTTAGGTTGCACACTTAACAGATAGAAGGTCATGAAGCAGAAACAAAATCGACGTTAACACTCTTGACCATATATGGCAAAACGGCTTTTATGCATTGAGACAATATTTGAATAATATTAAAAACGATATTTTTGGAATAAAAGATAAACTAAAAATAAATATCTAAGTTAAATGACCTTATGGTTGTTTAAAAGCTTAAAGACAGAATTTTATTGACATCAATTACGATCTAAAGGTGCAGGAGAATGGAGCGAGATAATAAATTGGTTTAAATACCCGCATGGAACTAGTATTTTATTTATTTAGGTGAATGCATATAAAGACATAATAATACACGATTTTTTTATTATTGAACAATCAATCTTCTAATATAATAACCAGGGATAAATTGAATCCAAGTGATTTTTAATATGGTTGTTAAGTTGTGTCAGGGTTAAAAAATATGATATTTATAAAAATATTATAAATAAACTTATAGGTATTGATATTTATTTTATATAATATACCTAATACCTAATATCTAATATTATTAGAATTGTCGATTATTTTATAAAGGGTGCACAAAGTATCCTTCTATGTAGGTATACCTACTTCTATGGGTATTTTTTTTATTTGAATGGCTACCTACAAGGTCGGTTAAATTAAAGAAATTTCAAGCCTATTAAAATTAAAATTATAAATTTGAAAAAAGCCAGCAGTTCCTAAAATATTTGGAAAAAAAACTAAAAACATTTCAAAACCAGAAATCGTTATAACTATTTTGAAATACATTTAACATTTAAACATACATAGGTATTAGTTTACATAGAAGATAATTTTAATTGATATCTAATGTAACTTGATTGTGGTGGATATTTTTGGAAAATATTAATTCTTAAAATTAGAAGAAAAAAATTGTGTGTAGGTATGTGAAACTTACTTTTTTAAAAATAACGATTTTTGGTTTTGACAGGTTTTCAGTTTTTATCAAATTATTTGAAAACCGCAGATTTTTTAAATTTTTAAATGTTTTTTTAATAGATGCAACTTTTCTCTAATTTAACCGACCTTGTAGCTCTTCAAATAAAAAATATATCCATACATAATATAAATATTTTTTTTAAGTGTGAGTAATTTTTTTCAAATACACACCCTCTTATTTTTAATAATTTTTGGGCAATACCTACATTTTTTCTTTGGTAACAAATTAGCGATAAATGTGCTCGAATTTGTTACCATATTTTGCTTTTTGTGTTCTGCCTTTGCGGTGACCGCTGTCTTAACAAAGACTCTTAACAAAATCTCTTATCCCCCAAAACCCTTATTTGATTTTTTATTTTTTAATCTAAACCACAACAATTTTTTTGTTTGAAACTTAACTCTTTATTTTCGTGCAATATTAGGCAATGTTACAATAGGATTATCAAAAGTCCAATATGATTTTCAATTTCCACGTTAAAATGTTAAGCATGTATAAAATTGTTAACGTCAATGCTCGCACAAAAGTCAATTAACCTTTGTTGCACTGCAGCAGTAATACTCCTATACTATAACAACTACATGGTACTTACCGCGGACGTGGGTGTCAAAAGTGTCCCATTGCCCATCGAGGCCATAAAATCAGCGGTGGACATTTGCGAATTGTGCGAGTCGTTGCTAAAATCCGAATTGTTCGACATGCCGTCGCTCAATTCCAACTTCATTTCGATTGTTTTACAGCCACGCGGTTTTGTTTTGATCCCGCAACTCGACTGACACGGAAATTTTTTAACCTTGATTGCAACACAGACCAGCTGCTGCACGAAAATCACTTTTTATATCCCTCAAACAACTCTAGAAACACTTGGAGATAATTTTTGACAAGTTCTGTGTTCGATCGGGGGATGCCGTGAAAAACAAACGCGAAATGAGTCACTGTGAGGGAAATCCTTTCGCAGAAACCACCGACTGAATGATGTCAGAACTAAAAATACCCGATGACGGTGACTCTCGCAAACCAATCAACGCTCAAACCACAAACGAATGTTCTCGATCACCACCGAAGCTAAGCGAAGAGCGTAAATGGCCGACTAAGCATATAAGTGCAACTTTTAATCGTTTTTATCATAAAAACATTTAAACCACACAAAACATCGACAGATTACATTATATTATATATACAATAATTAAAAACATAACTAACATCACACATTTAAGTAATTTAATTGACTTTAATATACTGATAAAAGTTTGTTGTGATTTTTTGTTGCACTACACGGTTTAGGTTCTGTTTATTTTCCAAGAAGTTTTCGATGACTCATACTTGCGTGGTCGTTTGTTTTTCTGCAAAGAATAAATTTAATGCAAAGACTACCTGTCGTCAACAAAAGGCTTTGTGATTTTCCGAAAAAAAAACCGCAGATTTCTCCTGATAGATTTATATATTTTTTAGTCCAAATTGTGATTATTTTAATCTAGGTGTGAAAAAAATAAAAATAAAACATGGAACTAAAAAAACAGTTAAAATAACATTTAAAAAATATCGTACAAAATAAAAAAAATATATAAAAAAATAACTTTTTAAAATTAGTAAAAAAATACAAATATAAATTTTTGTTATATTATAAAAATTCTAGATACCTATAGGTAGGTACTTACTTTTGAATAAAATAGAAAAGAATCCCAAAATTTTAATAAATTATAAATCAACCCTTTAGGTCCTATAGGACCTAAAGTCAGTGACAGATCGAGGGGCGAATTTGGGAAAATTTTCTTCATCCCAATTGAAGCTCTTAAGAGCTTCATTACCTAGGTACTGGAAAGAAATGTTGAACGAGAAAGATTCAATTAGGAAATTTGCCCCTGGATATCAGAAATTAACATAATATGTAATAATAATATACGGCCATTCCAAGCCCATGGACAGGACACATCAAAAACATGTCTAAATATATTCTTGTTACTTCCTTAAGTTTACTTATTTTTTCTACGAGTATTTATGAGAAGTATTAGCCAAATTTGGCTAATACTTCTCATAAATACTCGTAGAAAAAATAAGTAAACTTAAGGAAGTAACAAGAATATATTTAGACATGTTTTTGATGTGTCCTGTCCATGGGCTTGGAATGGCCGTATAATAATATTATTTCCCTTAAGAAATTGTTTCTAGATCCGCCTCTGATAAAGTATGCACCTCATATCTCAAGAACTAAAGGATTTTTTTGATGGTATAAAAGTTATGGTCATTTTTTTTATTTCTTTTTAAGTTTTACGTAAATAATAAAAACAATATTTTTTTAGGTACCTACAAAAAAAATTATTAGTCCCACGTAAGTTTTGCATATATGTCCTATAGGACTTTTTAATGCAGATTTAAATAAGAAACAAATTATATAAGTACCAAAAGTTACACAATACCAATAGTTTTCGAGATAATCGAGAACTATTTTTCGTGACCTTTGACCTTTGGCACCGCCAAACGCGTCACTATTTCTAGTGCCCAAATAAACAATATTCCTAAGGAAAATACACACTCACTATTTCTAGTGCCCAAATAAACAATATTCCTAAGGAAAATACACACTAGATTTTTTTTCTCTAAGTTGTAAAAATTTGTTAATCTACAAATTTTTTTCTTACAATTTAAACAAAGAAATACCTAGGTAGGTAGGTAGGCATAACATTTAAACCATATTCGTTTATTTGCAAAATACTCTGCTTAACTAACTACGTATTTTCGCACACGTGTTAGTTCTATTACCATCTAGCAGCGCATCTCTTTTGTTTATTTTACGTTTAAATGTCATCGAAATTTATTATGCGTCCGCGAGCTCGAGCTTCGAAGCTCTCTCGATTTTTTTCTTTTAGATCGTTTATAACGTTGCAAAGAAAACAAATAAAACGACGTAGTTTATTGGCCTGTTTACGTCGTTTGTCACTTGTCCACGGATAATTTGATTTTTAGCTTAAAATTAATTGTGAATTTTGGGTACCAACTATAAGTATACTTTAAAAAACAATTTCTTTGTCTTTTTACCTATCTAAAATAAAATATTTTTTGCATATTACATAGGTAGGTACATATGTAATTTATATAATTAAAATAATTATTTTAAAATTTTAAACGTCCTAAACCTATAATTTATAGGCTATAAAACATGTTTGTTGTTTTTTTTTATGGGGGGTATAGGTACTGTAGCGAGTACCCCTATGGATCTCGGAATGATGAGTCATCGCCGGTGAGTCAGCGCTGGGCGTAAAGCTCGCTGGATGTTCGAGAAGGCGCTTGCGTGACTAGTGTCACGTAGGTACTGAATATATAAGGAACAGCGCAGCATGGAGCAGTCGATCATGTTTTGGTACTCGCGACGAAATAAATAAATATACGTGCAAATAAATAGACTCTTGAACAGTACTGTACTATAGTTTCTTATGGTGGAATTATGCAGCACAAATTAACATTAACATTAAATTCTTCCTTTGTATTCATCTTAACTTTTTAATGTTAATCTTAATGTTAACTCAATGTTAATTTCTGCTGCATAATTGTACCATTAGTGTTTTAAGTGTACTTAATTAAGTTATAAAATAATTATTTATTTATTACTATTTAACTACGGTTTCGCGAAAGGATCGAACGGTCGATTTGCAAGGGTTCAAGAAATCGATTGAAACTTTTTTACCTTATTTCTACATCTTAATGCAGTACTTTTTTCAAAAAAAAAATCTCGTCCATTGACAACTTTGTTTTTATTTTAATTTTTTTCTTCGCTGTGTTAAAAATGAAGAAATTTCATTTTTTTTAAATAACTTTTTTATTTCAAAACGTATCGATTTGAAATTTGGACAAAATGTAGATCTTACTAATGACAATTAATCCATGAAAAAATTTTGTTTAGATTATAACGTACAGGGGGCGCTGGTAATAATTTAGTTTAAAATTTAACAATTTTTAAAGGGTAAATAATCGAAGAAGCAACTTTGTTTTATAAATTTGAGTATAGCACGTGAAAGTATTGATATTTGACTATTATTTGATATATTAACTTTTTTATGCAAATGATGTTTCTGTGGCCAGGATCAGTTTTGAATTAGCAGTAGCAGTATTCATAAATGCTTAGTTTAGTACATTTTGTCATTTTTATACAAATATTGTATGTCTTTTATTAATAATTAAGTAAAGCATAACACATAAATGACGTTTAATAAACAGGGTGTTTCACGTACTTAGTCCGTTGGAAGTTTCTAGGGAATCGCGAGACATCGATTTAAAATTTTAATAGCGTAAAGTATTCGCTTTCCTAAATTATTTTAAACAAAATAATACTTCCTGTTTTACCGGAATACCTCATATATTTTTACATTATTTAATTCTACATAAAATTCTGAGTAAAATGGCTATACCATATCCTATACCTAAAGTCAATATTTTTTGAGTTATTATTTTTTCAATCAAATATTTTAATTAATTTTAAACAATGACAGATTCAGTGGTAACCATTATTTGATTATGTTAAAACATACAGGGTTTTACATTTATAATAAAAACGTTGTTATTGTTTGAAGTTTGCCTAATTTCAAGTGGTTTTTCTCAAGGTATTTGTTGAAAAACCTTTAAAAAACTAAACAATGTTTTAATATTCCAAAAATTCCAACCCCATGTCAACAAACATAATAACAAACAAATTAGAGGCTATTTTGATTAACGTGCATTTTAACGAAAAAAATTAATATCTTGAAAACTATTGACTTTATGTATAGTCTAAATCAAATTGTATATTCTATTAAAATTTCAAATCCATACCGTTTGCGTTTCTCCAGAAACACCCTGTATAGCATTATATTAAATATAAAAAAATGCAAAATAACTAATTACAAAAAATCGAAAAACAAATGAATAAAAATATAGTTATATCTAAATAGCCGATTGCAACATAAAAAGTCTTTATTCTAATTTATTTATTGGGTAAATATTACTTTCCTTAGTTAGGAATTAAAATTGAAGCTTGTTTATCGAGTAAAACATAAATTGAAGCTTGGTTGTGGAGCAAAAAATAAAATTAAAGTAGGTTATAATTTCTAACTTGCTGATACTGTCTATAATTATTATTTAGTGTATTCATTTTAATAAATTAATATTTTAAGTTTATAGTACACTTATAAATTGAAACGCAGTCATTTGCAACTTATAAACTGAACTGTTAAATCATTTTTCATGCTTCCAATGGTAGGTTACCATAGAGATAAGTCTGTGATGCCTACTATGATCAAAATTAGTAAACTTAAAAAAATTTAAAATTTATAAATAAAACTAATTTTAGCTCCATCTATGGCGATTTTTTTAAATAAATATGTAAGAATTGTATGTTATATATAAAATATTGTATGTAATATATAATACATTATCTTATAAAACTAGTTAAAACAATTTATAATTTGTAAAAACGTTAGTATTACGCTCTTTGAAGGCTTAACTTAAAAATGGTGTCTCTCGTAGAAACATAATTTGCATTTAGAAGTTTATATATCAAATAATAGTTAATTATCAGTACTTTAACGTGATATACTCAAAATTATAAAACAACGTTGCTTCTTCGACTTTTTAACCCTTAAAAAATGGTAAAATTTTAAATTAAATTGTCCACCGTGCCCCCTGTATATTAAAATCTAAAAAAAATAATACGTGGATTTATTGCCACTAATAAGGTCTACATTTTATCTTAATTTCAAATCGATACGTTTTTAAATAAAAATGTTATTACAAAATATCGAAATTTATCTATTTTTAACACAGTAGAGTGACTTAAGGCCTGAAAACCACAGGGGTCAATGGATGAAATTTTTTTTTTGAAAAAAAAGTACCATTTAGATGTACAAACAAGTTAACAAAAATATATTCAATTCTGGCATCACTTGCAAACAAATGTCCAAAATTTGTTCGATTTTTACGCGAAACCATAGTTAAATAGTTTAGTTCGTTAATAAACCAGTGCGTGTTTTAATTCACACTACGAACAGTAAAAACGTGTCAGTGCGGTTAGTGTGAAACTTCGCAAAAATGGTTTCGTTAATGGATTTAAAAGTGGCGGACCTTAAGCGGGAGCTGGAAGAAAGGGAATGTGAAACAACTGGAAAAAAGAATGTGTTGCAGCGGGACGAAAATGTTTTAAGACGGGGGCAAGTTAGCGAGTACCCCTTACCCTTATGGCGGTGTATTTCGAGAGGGCGGTAGTTTCAAGTTTGCCCGGAACGGAGAAACCTTCGAGATGGCCCTGCTTATGGCCTCCGAAAATAAATTATTAAACTCTTCTATAACTCGTCTACTATATTCAAATCAATTAGCTGCAGCTAGAGTTGGGTGTGACTATAGTAAGACCGGAAAGACCGGATTTTAGGCCGTTAAAAATTGGAAATTAGGAGACCTAAATAGGCAATAAAAACCTACATTTTAGGCTGTTTTAGGCCTAAAGTCCCAAAAATAGGCCTCAACCGCCTAAAATAGGATTTTAGGCCGTTAAAAATTGGAAATTAGGACGCATAAATAGGCAATAAAAACCTACATTTTAGACCGTTTTAGGCCAAAAGTGCCAAAAATAGGACTCAACATTGGCGTAGCTAGCCATCTGACCCGGGGGGGGGGCTAGGGTGGTCCTGTTATTTTGACTAGGAATCTTTAAAAAAGTAAAACAAATGTTGTCTCCAAAAGGCACAAATAACAATTTCTTGAACAAACAGTTTCAGTGAGAAAGGAAGTAAGTACTACAATGTGATCTTGAGGACGTGTCCAAATATAATTGATGACCGTTTGTACCGCGCATGACCGTTTGTTGTTATGAAAAGGTATAATTGAGGCGTTTCTCGAAAAAACATCATTAGTCCAATATCGACGAAATTTAGATATTAGCACCAACTGTTTCCTAACCTCCATATATACGTAGGTATACAAATAAGTGTTTCTCGTAAAAATGTCATAGGTTCCATAATAATTAAATATGAAATTTAGCTTGTTCTTCTAAAAACATCACAAGTCCACTCCGTTTCGTCTAAGAAAGTCACATGTACACAACATGACATGTTGTCACATTGTGACGTTTTTGGACACTCTAGAAAAGCTTCTACCTCTTTTACATAATATTACCACAGCAATAGAAAATTTTATGATAACTTGATAAAAGAGCAGAAGACCATAGCACCTGACAGTCCTGATAACACGGTCGACAACGATGATAACAGTTGTGGATGCGAAGACTAAGTGTGGCAGTAATACAGTTTTTAGTTTTTTCATTCATTTTGTTACTCAGAGTTAGTATTTAGTTTGTAGTGTTTGTAGTAAGGAGAATTAATTAAAAAAACAAACAATTGTTTGTTTTTTTCTTCTAAAAACCTCACATGTTCATGTATTTTTTGTGTTTTTTTCATATTCGTTTGAAAATACAAACATGAGGAATTCTGGACAAAGTATCTTACATTTTTTTACATGTAGTAAATAGGTCAATAAAGTACTTTGGTCAAAAATGAGAATGTCGGAGAGTTTTTTTCATTTTCCCAAATATGTTAATTTTGGACTAATGATGTTTTTCCGAGAAACGCGTCAATTGCTACATACACGTGTATGTAGCAATGTAGTATGTACCTTAAGTGTATGTGCGCATGTTGGGCGGGGCTTGAATACGTTACGTTATTGTTTTTGGGTTGCGTTGAAACTTGTTTTGTTTGTGTTTTAGTTTGTGTCGTGCCATTTGCATTTATTAAAATGCGGTGTGGCATATTTGTATGCAATTTGGACAACAAGTCCAAGAAAAACCCTTTAAATAAAAACAAATTTCATCGATTCCCGAAAAACTTTGATTTCTACAAACAGTGGTTAAATGCCATAAAAATAATAGACAATTTTAACGTTAAGACCGCTTCTGTTTCCTCTAAACATTTTCTGTGACTATAAGTTTAATTTAAAACACCATTTCTTAAACTACACTCCTAAATGTTATCAAGGACTGAAAGAATCTTTTCTCTTCTTTTACTATATAGTATATATAATATATATTACTATTATTTGTGTATTCGCACGGCAACTACTCATCAAGTGACGTCATGCGCGGCACGAACCAAAACTCGTCCACGGGAGCATCCAGCCCGTGTTTTTATTTAAAGGGTTTTTCTTGCATCCAAATATGCCACATCGCATTTTAATTTGTAATTTGTGTTCCTCGTACTCGCCAAGGCCGTCTAGGCGAAATAAGAGCAAGAAAGCAGGGCCTAATTAAAAATAATTTAATTTTTCGCATTGAAAAATATATTTTTTCTGAAAAATTAAAAGAGCCTATTTTAGGCTCATAAAAATTTCCTATTAGGACCCTAAATCAAAATTTCGCCATTTTAGGCTTATAGGCAAAAACAAAGGGGTGTCAAACGCTTTATTTTTTTAAGTTTAGGATTAATATCAAGGTCCCAAACTATGGAACGCCGTTGTATTTTTTAATCAGGAATTTCTAATGTCACTTTTGAATTTCAGATATCTGAAATTAATTTCAGATATCTAAAATTATACGTATTAAAAAGTACTTTGGCGTTCCGTTAACGCCAAAATATTTTTTAATCAGGAATTTTTGTTGTAATTTTAACTAATAGTCATATTTGTAATTACAATTAATTGTGTCAACTGTTTTAAACAATATTTATAATTCAACTAATTTTAAACTCAAAAATAATGTGGAATTAAAAATATCAAAGTAACCCTAAAATTAAAGTCAATTTTTAATTCAAAGTGATATTTGTAATTCACAGGAATTATCGATATCAAAGTGACCAGAAAATTCAAGTTAATTTTTAATTCAAACTGATATTCATAATTCGCATGAATTATAAATATCAACTTGAATTTTTAATTCAACTTATTTTCAACTAAAAAATAATGTAGAATTAAAATATTAAAGGGAAACTAAGAATTATTTGATATTTTTAAATGAAAGACATATTTTTAATTCCCACAGTTTGGACACCCCTGGTAATGTTGACGGTTCAATTTATATTTGCCTTAATCTCAGTTCAATTATTTTGCGGCACTATTTGTTTATATAATAACGTTTTTATTAATACTTACCTATGTAGTAAATATACCAACAATTTTAGCTTCGTTCCTGGCAGAGATAAACCTAGATAGATTTATCTAGGGAGATAAAGAAGGTTAGGTTTCCCGGCGGGAAATTCTCGCATTGTCAAATTTGTAGTAGTTCAGTTGTAAATATTTAAAATATTAGGTAATTCAATTAATATTAATTATTACGCCTATTATTAATAAAAACGGTATTATATAAACAGTGCCGCAAAATAATTTAACTGAGATTAAAGCAAATATACCTACTGTAGTAGATAAATTGTACCGTCAACATTACCAGGGGTGCGATTCTCGAGTTGAGAGAACGCTATTCTCATGAGAAGTGGGCGTGTTTCACTTAAGTTTTGACAGGCTGCATTCTTAAAATCATGCAATAGTTTGGTTTTCCTAAAGCAGAAAAGAGTTTCCGAGAGAAGAACGCACTAACTTATCTTAAATTCAATAATGCAGCCTGTCAAAACTTGAGAGAAATGCCCACTTCTCCTATGAGAAGCGTTCTCTTAACTCGAGAATCGCCACCCAGGGGTGCCCAAACTGTGGGAATTAAAAATATGTCTTTCATTTAAAAATATCAAATAATTCTTAGTTTCCCTTTAATATTTTAATTCTACATCATTTTTTAGTTGAAAATAAGTTGAATAAAAATTGAAGTTGATATTTATAATTCATGCGAATTATGAATATCAGTTTGAATTAAAAATTAACTTGAATTTTCTGGTCACTTTGATATCGATAATTCCTGTGAATTACAAATATCACTTTGAATTAAAAATTGACTTTAATTTTAGTGACACTTTGATATTTTTAATTCCACATTATTTTTGAGTATAAAATTAGTTGAGTTATAAATATTGTTTAAAATATTCGATACAATTAAAAATATGACTAGCAGTTGGAGTTGCAACAAAAATTCCTGATTAAAAAATACAACGGCGTTCCATACCAAACAAATGCCTGAAATAAAAATAAGCAAAACATTATTGCCTAGTTAAAAAAAAATAGACTAATCCAGGAAAAACCTTGAGAGAAATATGGCTTTTAAATCCCACCGGCTGCCCCACGCAGTGGCGTCGATTTAACCATGTATCGGTCTCCCAGTATTTTTTTTGGGAATTTTTTGCTTCAGTTTGGTTAGTATTGGTAGTATTTTTAATTTAAATACAGAAGAAAAAACATTCTAAATTAAAAACGTAAAATGGGAAACAAATAGTCAAATATCATATGAATAAAGCAATTTTTGACAAAATATATAATTTATTTCATATAAATAGGTAATAATGATAATAATACACACTAAGTAAAGCTAAAATGTAAAAAATAAACAAAACAAAAAATAAAAAAGTTATTCCACTTCTAGTTCAAAATTGTCAATTTCCGCAAAAGTGGAATTCATGTCTTTAACCCATTTTGTATAGGCGGGATCCTACAAAACACCAAAAATTCTTAGTACAATATAAAATAAAAATATTTTTCTTACCTCTTTTTGTTTCTTTGCTTTCTTCTTCTTTCCTGGCGACAAACACATAATTTTAGTTCGCTTCCTTGTAGGTAACGTAATTTCTTTAATTTCCTGTTTTTCGGGATCTTCAAATAGCCTTACATCGGCGTAGTCATCTTCCTGAGATTCCTCAGAATGAATAATTTCTTCATTTACTTCTGGTATTACCTCTGGTTCTTCGATGACTTTAACCACTTTCTTCTTCCTTCTGGCGTACTTTTTTATACGATCTATATTGAATCTAAACGGCTTCGCCAGGGGATTTTCCTGGTTGTTTTCTCCAACACTGTCGTCCAAATTGGAAAAACCAAACAGGGAGTTTTCTTTTTCCCCTGAATTTTCATTATTTGGGTGGATCATAGAGAGATCTGGTTGTTGAATCCTATTGACTGCGCCTCGCAGCGGCGTCGAATTAACTGTGTTTCTATCACCTAATATTTTTCTGGGGGAATTTGATTTATTTTTTAGAGGGCTCAATTGGTCGACATCGAAAAGGCTGTTTGAATGAAGATTTTCCTTGACAACCGTATGTTCAATTGTTACAAAGTTAACAATGCTTTTTTGTGTGGGAACTTTAAAACTTGCAGCCCTGCTCTGGTTATTAGTATGTTCTTTTAATTTATCATCGAAAGTGTGATCCATAATCACGTCTTGCTCTATAGCGGGGAGGGCCGAATTTTTTATTTTCAAAAAGTGCGGGTTTCTCCCCCCTTGTCCCCCAAAACGCCAGGGGCTGTTGTTGGGGAGGCAAAGCATGGTACTGTTTGCATTAGGGCGTCTTCGGTTGAAAAACGATGGCGACCCGATCGATTTGTCGGACGTTAGTAGGATGTTTTGGTGGATCACAACTTTGTCGTTTGATTTCACAGGGGATTCACCTCCCGCCTCAAAACCAAAGTTATTGGAAACGTCTACTGGAATATCTGTAAAAAAATTAATACCATTTAATTGAAATTAAATGATCATCACAGAGTTGACAATTTTTTTTAATATATCCCTGGAGTTTTAAGACTTTTTCCCTAGCTTTTCAGATTTTCACAAGTTCATGTTCATAAAAATATACCAACTTATTGAGGTAACAAATGTATAGTCGCGGCCAAATCAGTATGGGTGCACGTCATCAACGTTTTTTTTCATAATTGTATAAAAAACGTTTTTAAAAACAAGGAAATTGTTACAGTTCTTGGTTATTTTTCTCAAATTGTATAGGCTGGCATAACAAAAAAATTTAGTTGACATTGATGATGTGCACCCATGCAGATTTGGCTGCAACTATATATATGTATTAGGGTGCTTCAAAAAAATTTTTTTTTCGCTCTTACCCTCTCAAATGTTTTTATTTAATATAAATAAAATCCTCACCAAAATTTGGTGAGGATTTTTTTTATATTAAATAAAAACATTTGAGAGGGTAAGAGCGAAAAAAATTTTTTATTTAATATGGGCGTTCCAGCTCAACTCTAAGAGGTCGCTGTTTTTATTTTAGTTTCCCATTGAATTAACATGGGAAAAAATTAATTTATGTTTGGAATTTTATACCTCTGTATCAAAGTAACTTATGGCAATGATCATTGCAGTTTCTTATATAAAATTTAACGCTCTACAAAAAAGGTCTCTTATTATTTTTCGATAAATTGATTTCTTCTAGAGTTATTCGAGGTCAAAGTTTGATTAACATCAAATTTTCTGGTACAATTAGCAGATGGGAGGTGAAAGGGGGAAAACTTTGACCTTGAATAACTCTAGAAGAAATCAATTTATCGAAAAATAATAAGAAACCTTTTTTGTAGAGCGTTAAATTTTATATAAGAAACTGCAATGATCATTGCCATAAGTTACTTTGATACAGAGGTATAAAATTCCAAACATAAATTAATTTTTTCCCATGTTAATTCAATGGGAAACTAAAATAAAAACAGCGACCTCTTAGAGTTGAGCTGGAACGCCCATATTAAATAAAAATTTTTTTTCGCTCTTACCCTCTCAAATGTTTTTATTTAATATAAAAAAAATCCTCACCAAATTGTTGGGCTGGAACCCCCATATTTGGCGAGGATTTTTTTTATATTAAATAAAAACATTTGAGAGGGTAAGAGCGAAAAAAAAATTTTTTGAAGCACCCTAATATGTATACATATTCAAGTTGTATTACACAAAACAACTGACAAATAAAAATACATATACAAACCTAGTAAAAAGAATAGGTATACAATATAACATATACCTCAAATTTTTTGATTTCAAAATGCTTAGATAAATTTCTTATTTTCTTTAAAAATACCTAGAGATGCTGAAAATTCCTCAGACTATTTTCTTCAGGTGAAAATTAACTTTTTTTGTTTACTTACCTATAGGATCATCTTGTACTTCCATGGGTTCCAGAATTTCTTCAAAGGGTAAATCATCGTCAATTTCATCAATAGTATGTACTTTTGTTTCAATTCTTTGTACTTTTTCTTTACTCTTTTCCACATGTATGATATCATCTTTATATGGAACATTTTTTGAAGGTTTTTCATCAAGAAATTTAACTTTTTGTTTATTTATTTTGGTCTTAAGTCTTTCCATGACTACTTCCATGTTTTTATCATAGGAATTTGTATCATTTTTGTCGACTTTTCTTATGACTTTTTTACGTTTCTTGGGTACTTTTTTGGGGATTCTCTTTTTCTCACTGTCTGAATCAAATTCATATGTGTCATCTTCAATATTATCATTGTGTACTTTAGCTTCTTGTTGTCTGTACACAGGTATTTTATTTTCTGCTGGTTTTGGGGGGTTTTTGTTCATGGAAGATTCGTTTTGTGATATTTCTGCATAGTTTACATATTTTTTTGGTCTTATGAATTTTTCAGGTTTATCAGGATTTATTTCTAGTTGTGTGGCCTGATGAATTTGTTTGGGTTTTTCTAGATAAAATTTAGTCTTCTTTTCTTTTATGGGTTTTTTGACTAAAATAAAAAGTTAAAACTAGAAAATTTATTAAGAAAAAACTTACCTATATCTATTTGACAAAACTTATCCAATTTAATTTGTATTGGACCTTTGTCAACTATAGTGCTATTTTCCAATTTCTTTTTTCCCCTCGTTTTAACATTTTTTAAAACTTCTGTTTTAGTTTCTTTGACATTTTCTGTAGTTTTTGTACTTTTTATTCCCTTTTTCTGTGGCAAAACTTTTTGTTCAGTTTCTATTAGTTTTGCTTGCTTTTTAACTAGATTATCTCTCATAATATCCACTTGAAGTCTTTTTTCCACCCCAGTACTTAATTTTTGACGTATTTTAACTAGATTTTCATTGTTAATCTCAACTTGAAGTATTTTGTTAACTTTATTGTGTTTATTACAACTATTTGGGACATTTGAGACTTTACCCTTTGATAAATTTGATTCGTATACAATCAAACTTTTATTTTCCTCATTTTCTTTAGTATTAGACCTTGATTTTGTCCTTCGTGTTGGAAATTTGGTGTTGATTACATTTGTCATTTGTTTATTTGTGGCTTTATTTTGTGATGAATTTAAGTTACATACAGTTACACTTTTATTTTCCTTATTTTCTTTTATATTTGAGCTTGATCTTGTACGTGTTTGAATTTCGGTGATCAAATTTTTAGTGTTTTGTTCATTGATGGTTTTATTTGGTGATAAATTAGATTTTGTCACAATTACTTTAATGTTTTCTTCATTTTTGTTAACATTTGACCTCAATCTTGCCCTTCGTGTTTGAATTTTAGTAATGATTGATTGTTTTTTATTTTTCCCTAAAATTATCATAAGAAAAAAAACCTTAACGGAAATATTAGAAACTTACCCAAGACATCTTTTTTTACTAAATTTTCCTTTGAAACCTCCTTAACAACTGCTAAAAGTATATTTTTAATTATATTTTGTTTTTTATGGAAACCAGTTTTTAAATCAATACTTACCCTCTTCCTTGGTCTTGGCCATATTGAAATGCAAATTTGATTTATCTTGGAATGCTTTACGCGTAATACTCCCTTTTACAACCCCACAATCTTCAACTTTGTTCAAGATCACAACCAAACTTTTTTCTGATTTCATTTTACTTCAAAAACGTGGCTTAACCTAGATTTGTATTAAATCAGGCATTGAACTTTAAACAAAAAATAATATTAATAATGTTAAATAATGTTAATTTGTAAAGAAAAATATATAAACAAAGTATCACAAAAATGTAAAATGGCGGTTTAAAATTTCAGCGCTGCCAACATAAATTCAAAAAAGTTGCTGAATATTTGGTTGGCATTACTTATTTCTGACATTTGATTAAATATGGCGTCTGTCACGATCTAGAAATCAAAAAAATAAACAAATACAGGATTTGTCAAGCTCGGAGATTTACTTTTGGCTGTATTTTTGAGAATATTGGAGACTGAAAATGGGTAGTTATGGAAAAGCGGTAATGACAGGATTTATTTGTCGTTTGTGCTCAGAACAAAAAAAAATTGTCATACACTTGTATAGTTCTAAGGCCAAAGAAATGGGTTTGATGGAAAAAATCAGATTATTGCCCATAACAGTGAGTAAAGTTTATTTTAAAGTATCTATGCATCAATGATATTTTTTTTGTCCTTGATGTGACCAAAATGTCTAAATTAGAAGAAGAAATTACTAAATTACCTATTATCTGTAAAATAGTGGCCCATAATAGGCCACTATCTTAGTAATAGGCCACCCATTTTACATGCTAAACTTACTACACTATAGTTTGCACTTTTTGACTAATCAGATGTACATATTGTTGTATTAACATATCCTAGTGCATTGTATTGTTTTAAGAATTTCAACTTATGTAGGTTTAATATATTTAGGTAGCTGCCAATTTGAGTAAAATATACCTAACCATTTTAATTAGGACGCATAGTTAATTTTTTGTATGGTTTTAGGTTGAGAAATATGATAATTTACCTAAAACTATTTGTGAGGCTTGTATTAGCAGACTGGAAATGCAATTTAATTTAGTGGTAAAAATTAGGAAGACGGATGCTATACAGCGCAGTCACACTTTGCTACATGTAAGGAGAAGATTATTTGTGGTTATTAATTTTTATTATGAATGTGTGGTTTTTTAGAGTAATGGTCGATGCCCAGTTGAATGTCCTTTGCACAGAACGGCTGGGCCTTCAACAGGAAAATAATTAGTAGTATAAGTGTAAATATATTTATTTGTACATAAATAAGATGTGTTTTTTATGATAATTAAGATTATTGTAGCTTATTTTTGCATAAACTTAGTAAGTTTCCTTTGTTCTTTGACATTTTGAGGAATTTGTAAATTTTTTAATAAAGAGTATTAGTAAAGATGTTTTTTTTTGTTAAAAGTATTGTCACAACCATGTCCTTAGTTCAAGGTCCCCACATATACATTATTTAGGTTCAAAGTAGTAGTGTTTTTTCTTAGTTAAAAACACTATAAATAAAAATAAAAACAATTGTTTAGTTATATTGATATATATTTATTGAAAATATAATTTATATTAACATACACAGTAATTATAAAAATGATCTATCATTAAAACTCTTAAATATATCACAATCAATTATGATTCTAGTTTTATTTATTTACAAAACTTTTCTAGAAAATAAATAAACTTCTTAAATAATATTAATTTACATACAACTAAAATTAAGGTAAATATAGAGTATGTGTCAAAACAAAAAATTTAAAGGAACTGATAAAAAATAAGCAAATATTTGCTTATTTTTATCAACATGGTAATTATTTCCGAAAATAGATTTTTGTATTAATTTCGCTGAGAAAATGGACGAAGAGGTGATTTTTAAAGCCCAAATAAGTTGAATTTCTAACACATTAAATGAAAAGATTTGAATTTCGCGCGTTAAGATACAATAAACACGACAAAATTCAAATCCTTTGAACTATAACACTCAGCAAGATTTTTAATGAACACTATATCATTACAAAAATTACAGTAACAATGCTTATTGTGCTTATCATACAAAGCCTTTATAAAATAACAATGTTTATTTGTGCTGGATTTATTGAATTGGTCTAAAAGTTTAGTCTCCTTAGGTAAAATTCTTAGTTTGTAAGGTTTCTTTACAGAATACTGAACTACTTATTAAATTTTTTTAATTCAGTCATTAAATAAATGATTATTAATTTCATCAACATCTAAAAAGTTGTCTTAAACTAATTTTTAAGGCAACTTTTTGAATTTTGTTAATTGTAAGCAAGTTTTAATATTTACATTTCGTTGACAAAAACGGAATATAATGAAAGGAAATCAAATTTAAATTAATACTTTTTTATTTGAAAATTCAGCACCTCAAGGTGAGATCAAAATTGTCTAAAGCAAATCTCTTTAAGAACAACTTTGTTTTTCATTGAGTAACTGAGTCCAATTGTATTTTTTATTCAGGGATTTTTCTTATGTTTTATCAATAAAGTGATATTTTCAATTAGATAAAAAATATCATATAAGAATTTTAATTCCGCAAATTAAAAATATATTAGATATTTAAAAATTAAATTTAATTTTTATTCCAAACTTAATTTAGTGAATTTAAAATATATGTTTCTAATGTTTGCATTTTTTAGTTAAACACATTTTTAATTTGGTGAATTAAAAATATCATGGGAGAAATGTTTAAATCATTTTAATTTTAATATTTTTTAATAAGTAGATATTTTTAATTGAATGTGATATTAAAAATAAGATTGGAAGTTTGGACACCCCTGGTATTCCAAACTAATTATGTCGCTAGATGGCGGCACAATCACTGGGATCTACGACGTACGTTAGTCCGATGTTGTACTGACCTAGCGTGTGTTGAACAAGGACAGTGCAAGTTAGTTTGTTCTTGGAGGGGGTCTGTTTTTGTTGCGATTGGAATAACAGGGGTATCCAAACTCTCAATCAGTCGAAATTAAAAATATCACATTGAATTAAAAATATCTGCTTATTTAATAAAATAAATTTTTAATCGAATTAAAAATCTCCTATGACATTTTTAAATTAATTTAGTAATTAAAAATATGTGTTTAACAAAAAAATACAAATATAAGAAGCAAATATTTTAAATTAACTAAATAAAAAATATCAGTTTAACAAAAAATACAAATATAAGAAACAGATATATTAAAATTATTAAAACCTAAATTATTAGTTTGGCATAACAATTCAATCTAATTTTAAAATATCTGCTGTTAGTCCAGGAAACAAAGATTGTAGAAGGAAAACTCGATGGTAGTCGGGTTTTATTTTTTTGTATGTAGAGTCAGAGATACTGATAATGAATCAAGAATATTCCCCAAAAATTTCTTTCTGCGTCCCCTAATTTCATCCCCCGAAAGGGGAGTTTTTTGCTTTTTGGGTCATAACTCGCTAACTGTGCATTTTTTCAGAATTTCACCTCCAATACTTTTGATTATGTACTAAATAAGGCACACGTTAAACCCCATTGCGCACCTATATGATGTGCCCTTTTGCTATGCGCAGTGTGCAAAGTTGAGCGTTGCTTTCAAAATCACTTTTTTGGTTTTTTTATTATAGCCCAATTTTAAAAGTAATAGATCCCAAACCTTACGGTAATCAAACATAACCGAATGGACGATTTTTTGAGGTACTAGACTTTTTTCAAAAGTTACTGCTTTTCAATGTACAGGGGGTTCTTTTTTCAAAAAACCCATTTTTTATTTCCCAAACGGCTTTAATGAGCCAGTTCGTTCTACCCTAGATTTTTAGGTACCCTTATCCTCGTAACGAATCCATAGTTTTTTTTTAAATTATTTTCATTGCAAGTACCCCACAAAAATTAAAAGCAAAAAAACTCCCCTTTCGGGGAATGAAATTAGGGGACGCGGAAAGAAATTTTTGGGAAATATTCTTGATTCATTATCAGCACCAATGACTACATAAAAAAAAATAAAACCCGACTACCATCGAGTTTTTCTTCTACAACCTTTGTTTCCTGGACTACCTATATGATATTAATTCACAAAATAAAAATTCTTTTGTGATATTTTTTATCTAATTGAAAATAAAACGGCGCCCCATGCATTCTTTAGACACAGATCTTTGAATAAATGGATGACAATTTGTTTTCTTTCAAGTTTAAAAATTTGAAAACTGCTGTCAAAATTCAAATAAAAAACAGAAACCAAATTAGGTAATTTTTGTGGTAATTTTTAATAATTTAAGAGAGGCAAAAAAACTTTTGTTAGAGTTAAATAATACATTTTTGTCGATTAATAATCCTTAAAATTATCGATAGATGATAAAACCAATGTAGACATTAAAAATCAAAAACCATCGCGAATTGGAAGCAGAGAAACCGAAAAAAAGAACGTCATCAAAAGTGGAGTAGCGTGAGTGAGATGGTAAACTACCTGCCGGTGAATCCCCGCCATATGCTGGCTATGCTGGCCGCGGCGCTGTTGACCAGTCCGCCGGCCATGCTGCTCGCCTGCTGCGTCGTCATCATCTGCTGCGTGGATTGGGCGACCAGAGCGCCGGCGCCTGCTTGCACTTCCGGCGACTGTACGTGAGGCACCTGGAAAAAATATTGAGAATTTATTTGTTGGGGTGGTTAAAATTGTTTTAGGTTGGAAGTAAGGGGTCATCCATTAATTACGTGAGGCAATTTTGGCTCCCCCCTCCCATTGGTGAGATGTCGTGGGATTTTGCTCGACGCCCTCCCCCCTCCCTTAATCTCACGTGAGATTTTTTAAAATGCATGGTTTTAATGTAAATAAGTTAATCTGTGATTGATTAAATTAGATTTATTAAAAAAAACAATTTGTTTATAATTGTTTACTTAATTTAACCCAATTTTCTCGCAATTTTACATTGTTTCATTCGTAAAGAAAAAATTACGTGATATTTGCTAAGACCACCTTTCCCCCCACGGGAATTTTCGTTTTTTCGGCTTGTATTAGTCCTGTTTACGCTATTTTTTCGATGTTCTCGATTTAATCGTTTAAACAATGATTTAATGGTATTTCTCTATTTAATGGTAGGTACACATTTTGTTTTTAAATGACCAAATTTTACATTTAAATTTTAACTTAATAGTCTTGTCAAAGGTCCAGACTCTAGACAGTATTCTTGTTTGCGAGTTAATTATTCCCAAACTGTCAAACCACAGAAGTTCTGTGACCGAACACCAAACATACATTATTCAGAAAATTTAATTGTCTACAAAAAACATCCTTTTCAATTATTGCATAAATTTTATAGTTTCAGAGATAATTGCGAATTCAGAAAAATCGCAATTATCTAAATTATCTCTAAAACCACAATATTTATGCAATAATTAATAAGGACCTTTTTTGTAGGTAATTAATAGGGATGGGATTTTAGTTATTTTACCTTTTTTCAACCGATGTAGCTATTTGAAAACCAATAATGCCAAAATGTGTTTTAAAAGATTTTCTTTTATATGAACCTAACTTGTTTTCACCTTTTTTACCTTTTTTGGAGGTTTTTGCTTTAAACTACCTTTTTTATACTTTTGTTACCTATTTTTTTAACTTGTTTTTACCTTTTTTACCTTTTTTGCAAGTTTTTGCTTTAAACTACCTTTTTATACTTTTGTTACATATTTTTTAATTTGTCAGTTTATTTTCACCTATTTGTTATCTATTATTACGTATTTTTACTTATTTTATTTTTTTGTGTTCTTTTTAAATTTTGCCCCAATATTTTATCCAGGGCGTGCAACTCAACGGTATAAATTTTTTTCTTATGGTCACAGACTGTAACAGTAACTTTCTTTACAGTTACCTTCTTTGTAGTGAGCTTATGTTCTGTCATAGAACTTCTGTGTTACAGTAGTGAGTGTCACTCAGTGAAACACAGTTTATTGCATAGAAATAGTTTATTGTGGGTATGTTCTGTATTTGGGTATGCGGCTAAACAAAATTATAAACGAAACGTGAACTGTTAATGTTTTTTTTTACCTAAAATGCTGTTTTTTTAACCTAAAATTCTTTTTTTTAGTACCTTTTTAGTTACCTATTTTTCAGTTTTTATTACCTAAATATCCCATCCCTAGTAATTAAATTTAGTATAAAAATTTACTTCAAAAAAGTATATTTTTAACTTCAGTTTTAAGTGCAATTGGCGAGCCTTTTTTCTTTTGTATATTAATTTTGTTTGACCTTAAAGATGAATATTGTCTTATTTTTAGAAAATAAGACAAAATTGGCTTTAAACTAACCTCAATTATTTGTATTCAAATGTCAAGGTAGGACTTTTGGTCGTGAACCATAGTGCTTTAAACTACCTTTTTTATACTTTTGTTACCTATTTTTTTAACTTGTTTTTACCTTTTTTACCTTTTTTGCAAGTTTTTGCTTTAAACTACCTTTTTATACTTTTGTTACATATTTTTTAATTTGTCAGTTTATTTTCACCTATTTGTTATCTATTATTACGTATTTTTACTTATTTTATTTTTTTGTGTTCTTTTTAAATTTTGCCCCAATATTTTATCCAGGGCGTGCAACTCAACGGTATAAATTTTTTTCTTATGGTCACAGACTGTAACAGTAACTTTCTTTACAGTTACCTTCTTTGTAGTGAGCTTAAGCTCACTACAATTATGTTCTGTCATAGAACTTCTGTGTTACAGTAGTGAGTGTCACTCAGTGAAACACAGTTTATTGCATAGAAATAGTTTATTGTGGGTATGTTCTGTATTTGGGTAAAGGCTAAACAAAATTATAAACGAAACGTGAACTGTTAATGTTTTTTTTACCTAAAATGCTGTTTTTTTAACCTAAAATTCTTTTTTTTAGTACCTTTTTAGTTACCTATTTTTCAGTTTTTATTACCTAAATATCCCATCCCTAGTAATTAAATTTAGTATAAAAATTTACTTCAAAAAAGTATATTTTTAACTTCAGTTTTAAGTGCAATTGGCGAGCCTTTTTTCTTTTGTATATTAATTTTGTTTGACCTTAAAGATGAATATTGTCTTATTTTTAGAAAATAAGACAAAATTGGCTTTAAACTAACCTCAATTATTTGTATTCAAATGTCAAGGTAGGACTTTTGGTCGTGAACCATAGTACTTTGCTCCACACATCAATGTCCCACCACATTAATAGAAATTGGTAATTAAGGTTAATTTTCTGTCAGTCAAGCTAGTTTCATCCCATTTTATGAAAAATTTGAAAAAGGTTGTAATTTTTTAAATTGCTAGGATACTTAAGTCGTTTTTTCGCGTAAATACCATTAAATACCATGGTTATTAAACTTAACCTTGGTTAATAGTTAAGGCATTTTTGCGATTAGAGTGCGTTCAAAAATCCTAACTATGACGTCACAAATACCAGACCATAAAACTATATCGCTGAGCTAGTTATTCAACGTGGTTAATAGTCTTTCTCTTTTTAATATATATTTTTCTCTGTTTCGATCTGTCAAAAAGTTGTTTACATTTGAAATTTAAAATATTTTAAGTAGGTACAATTGCTCTTAAACCGAATTTAAACTTTGTATTAAAATCGTAAACGGGGTGTTGTCAGCATAATATATAGTATATTATACTTGTGGTAAGTATATGGTTGTCAGTAAAAATAAATGATAGGGTGCTCCATATTGTGGAATCTCCACAAGTGGAGGAATTATATGCAGGTTTGTTTTATATTCCTTATTTTGTATTAAACATGTAGGAGAATTGGATAACGTACGTGTATTGAAAAAACTAGTACCTGTAGAAAAAGAATATACTAGGTATAAGAAGAGGCAAAGAAATTTATTTACACCGGTAAAAGCATAGAAATTAAATATAAATAGGTAAAAACACATTTCAAAAATTATAGGTTATGAACAAGTAAACAAATGTCAAATGTTAGAAACCTAACCATGGTTATATGAATTAACTGTGACGTCATGACTTATTTAACCGTAGTATTACATAGTATTTACGCGAAAAAACGACTTTAAAGTTCTTTTTTTTATCTGGTTGAAAATTTAGGGTCTTGGTTGGTAAATACAGTTGTCAAGTTGGTCGCATTGATTAAAACAAACTAAGCTAGTTATAAATCTAATTGTGGTTATGTATAAATTATTGTAGTTGTGCAGTTGTCAAGTTGGGTTGTCGAAATTCGTAGTTAAAAATGCAATTAATTTGGCTTCTTCAAAAAATCATATAAAAGAAGTAGTTAAATATAGGTTGCTTTACGGCCCAGAAGAGAAAGTATTCCTAGCGGATAATTATCTTCGCTTTGAAAAGAATTTATATAAAAAAAAATTTTTTTGGTGAACGTAAATGTTGTCCAATGGTGAATAATGTGAAAATAATGTGTGATGTAATATTTATAATGTCCATAAGGCGATGGACTTTTTCTTCCATTGTGGCATTTGGCATAATTTCATCAAAATTAAGTTTTGCCCTTAAAAGGGCTTTTACATTCAAATTCGTTGCTATTATTTTTGGCATAATTATCTTTTTATTTATAATTGACAAGTAAATTATCAATAATAAATATTATTGTCAATTTGACAGTGTCAAATTATTTAATTAAATACTAACTATTATTTTTAAATACTAAAAATACTAAGTCAAACTGGCATAAGCCACCAACCTAACAAAAAAACACGAGTCCAGATAAAAAAAAAATGAACTGTAGGTGCACTGTTGATATTATATCATTGAGTAAGATGATAATATGTAAAATATTTGGTCGACTGGAATCCACTTCTTTGTGACACTGCTGTCAATTTTTGTTCCTGTCATTATTTATCATTTTAAGTTATGTTTTCCTCCAATGTATTAGAATAATAATAAAGCTTTGATGCAAATAAAAGGAAGAGTATAAGGGAAGTTGGACGCGAATTTACCGTTCACAGTTCAGCGGGATATGTGCAGTACCTGCAGCCGGAGATAATCCCGCTAGAGAGGAATTCTGTAGTGGTTGCTAGAGATTTTGGGCTGGGGTACAGAACTAGTTGTTTAATTTTTACTTTAAAACATTGGCGTCCTGAAGTATGACATTTCTTTTTGAAACACAGTCGGACAAAATATTTTTAAAAGTTTTAAGACAACAATGTTCTATTGTCTCTTAGCAATTTTTAAGGCTCCTATGTTTAACCTAGGCGAGAGCTCTCAGTATTGGCTGCCACTTCTTTGCTCTCAATTAATTACACTATTGCCAAGAATTTTTTTATTTTTAAATTGGCCATCTTCATTGCTATCAGCACGCCTCCTTTTTTTCTGTGGCGCGAGTTCTAGGACACCCTGTATGTATTTTTTGTGTCCATAGGTCTTAATTTAGAAAAAAAAATACATACATATGTTATACAGGTCGCGAGCTTCTAATATTTTTGAATTGTGAATCGCCAGCCAAAAAGGTTAAGAACCGCTGATTTATAGGATAGTACACACGTTTTTTGGTGTTCCCACATCTACCAAGTTATTTCTCCTGTATTTAGTCTTCTTGGATAAACTATTTTTTGACAGTTCATGTCAAAAAATCAAAACTTTAACGCCGTGACCATGGAGCCTACACAAGGAGCCCGAACTTCATGTAAACAAGAATCTTCCTAAGATAAGAGGGCGCTGGTGTACTACCGGTCCAAAACAGTAGAGGGGTATAACCAGAGATGGCGCCACTACCTACCACTTATTATTGTGCAAATAATTGAGGTTATGCAACTGTCAGTTTATCATTTTCTGAAAACAATGTACCCATGTACCTGGTTCACTTCACAGATTATAAAGAATCACTTATATTTCACAACCAAAACCTTTTCATTAGCATCTACCTACCAGGTACAGCCATAAATAACAAAACGATTCGTACGTCAAAACATTATTGCAAATCAATTGTCAAAACTTACTTGCTTACTTCACATGTATTTTCGATACTATTTTCACGTCATTCGGACGCATTAACAAGCAGCGCCGCTGGTGGTGAAAAAAAAAGACTTAAATTGTGCAATTTAGTGGACAGGTTTTGTCAATTTTCCCTATTAAGTTCGGGCTCCTTGTGTAGGCTCCATGGCCGTGACTAGAAGTACACCGGGAGTACGGGCATTAAAAGTACATCAGGTTTGTGCGCATGCGTGTTTCCATAACAGCTGATGGTAAAATTTCGGATTTATTAGTTGACATTAAAAGTTGTATAACATTTGGTAAAGAGCTGGTTAACTCTTGATATTAATTATGTAATTATTAAGCTAACTTTCAAGTTGTATAAACATTGATTAAAATTTAATTAAGTGATTGAAATACAATTAACAACAAAATTAATGAAATGTCAGTATGAATTACCCAAACCAACCCAAACTCAACAACCCAACCCAACCGACCCCGCCCCATTGAGCGCGAAATTGAGCGACCATTTAATATTATACAATTGACAAATATGCTAAATAAGGATTTTTTTCCACCCGGTGTACTTTTAATAGCGGTACTCCCGGTGTACTTGTAGTCACTTTGAAACTTTAAATAACTTTCGTTTTATATATGACCATTTTATATTATCAAATAATAATAAGAAGAAAATTGTTTTAAGTTTTAAGACCTGCTGAGTTCATCTAATATTGTGAAAACATAAAAAACTAATATAACATAAAGGTAGTTTTTAATAACTTTACTGTATGAACCCTGTGTTTCTTCACAAAAAAATATAAGATTTTAAGGGTTGTCCACATTTTGTGTAAACCAAACTCCAATTGAACAACTGGGCCCAAGGATTTAAAGTTTAGATACTTAGGTTGTTGTTAAATTGGAGTTCAATTATATTTTTTTCCTTGAAATTGGAAATGTTTTTAAAAAAAAATTTTTACCGCCTCCCATTCAGCTGGTATATTATCCTCTTCGGAATCAGAATCCTCACTTAAATGGAGATGATTAGATAAAGGCTGTTCCAACGCATTTCCCAGAGCTAAATCCAGCTCAATGGGGCCTTGTCTAAAAAGCAAGAAAAAAAATACAAACAATTTTTAAAATAATTATAATTATTCCCTACCTTCCCAAGTCAGCAGATTCATTCAACAATTGCAACAAATTATGAATAGTCTCGTTTGACCTCAAAAGGCTCAAATCGACGTTTTGAAAAAAACACAAATACAAAATATTCGCGTTTAGTCTGGCAACACGCCGAGCGAACTGTTGCTCCGTCATGCGACATTGAGCCATGTCACTAAAACATTATTTAAGGTTATGTAAATGTCAACTTTGGACACCTAGTTAATAAAACTTGTTGGTACCTTAAAATCATTTTAAAAGGCAGTCTGACATCCAAATAAAAAGACAAAACATGCACAAGTTGTGCTGTGTAAGTTAAAGCTGCACTTATTGTGTAAGCTGGTATATCAGAAACTGAAATTTGTGTATTTGGACTTGGAACATCCCTATTTTGGGCGACTAAAAATTACACATAAATTTGTATTCAAAATGTTTGTCAATTTGTTACCCCAAATATTGTAAGCAGAATAATTTCCTGAAGCTGGTAAAGTGGGGCCCACTATACAGTATTTCATTTCCGAAGAATAATCTGTATACTCCCATCTATCTGAAATATATGTTGTTCTTGAAGCATCAGCAATAGCACTCACCATATCAGTATCACTCGACTCCATTTCACTACAAAATTATATCATTAATACATACAGAACTATATTATTTAAAACTTACACTTTAGGAGAAACCTTTGTAATAGGAAAAATATACTTAAATAGCTGGTGCACCCTAAGCTTTGTCAGCTTTTTTAAATTAATTTCCCCCTTTTTAAATGCTTCGCTGTTCCTGTCATACTCCTCAAACTTTCTTTCAATGTAACTTTCTAGGGAATGAATCTTTTGGTCATACTTTGGCAGACTTTTGTGTCTTTCTTCATTGTTTTGCTTTAAACTGATCAGCTTTTCCTTGTGCACAATTCTACGCTGCTTTTTCTCCTCCAATGCCAATTTAAGAGTCCTATTTTTGTCCCTATTCTGTTTAATCTTGGTGCACTAGGAATAAAATTTGATCGTTATTGTGACAGCTTCACAAAATAGGGTTAAATTATGTTTGTGATTGGTTGTTTGGTCATAAGTTATTTTCATAAAATACGTTTTAAAGCTTGGGATTGGTTATTTTATCACAAACCACTTTGTGTACTTGAGTTGTCATTTTTGACATTTAGATACTTACCAAAACATCTGCTTTAGCTCTATTCTCAATGTACTTAAGACAGTTGTTCTGCAAGTTTTTTCTCTTGTCTTCAAGCTCTATTAAAACTTTTTGTTTGTCAGCGTATCTATAAAACAAACAATTAATGTAGGATAAACAACTTTTCCTTTTTCAATCATACCCTTCTGTAGCCTTTGATTTCGAGGTGTAAAAAAGTCCGCTGTGGACGCAGTCCTTGCAGTAAAATGTTTTCCGAAATTTTCCGCACAAAGGGCACTTTTGTCTGTTGGGACTTAGGCGGCTGCCACTGTCTGATGAAGTCGAAATATGAAAATCTTTTGGTGGTATGCTAATTTCGTCCGAACTGGTGCTGGTAGCCATAACAAAATACGTTCATTCAAACTATCTTGCTGCGTAGCTGCGACGTTTATTCGATGAATTATTACGGATATTTTGCGAAATTGATAAACTCGGTCATAGACGAAATAAAACAGGTAGTCTTTGAAATTTATTTTGCCTTTATTATATTTAGTTGGTTTTGGTTAAATTAAAGTACGGCAACGTTGCATTTATAATTTGAATGGGTTTGTTCCAAACACTATTTGAGTCAGCCCAGAATCACAGACCATCTGGGCCCCAGATTTAATATAAAAAAAGTCATTTTTTTGGATTATTGCAAAACTTAGATTTTCGGTAGAATTTTTCAGAAATCGGTAATCTACCGAATAGTCCGGGAGGCAGTGAAGATTTTCGGTACTTATTTTCCCAGTTTGTGAATTTCATTAAGTTTGTTCAAATGGTGACACAAAACGACAATTTGGGTGTCTGGCTGAAATTTTCGGATGGGTTCACTAGATGAGCCAAAAAGTCAAGTCCACTTATTTTCCCAGTCATAAATATTTCACATTAATTAAAGTGAGTCATTTTATTAATGGAAATAACAGTCTGGCACATCCCAAGTGAAGGAAAGTCAGTCTGGCTGAAAATTTGCGGAAGCAAAAATTTGACCGGTTTTTGAAATACGTAGCCCTTATTTTCCCATGCTTAAAATTTAACCCATTATTTGGTACTGTCATAAACTATAATCAAAATTAAATCATGATTTATGAAATTGGCAAATTGTTCTGGCGGCATCTTGAAAATCGTAAGAATTACAAAAAATTTGCTCTTATTTTCCCGGATTTGAAAATTTGTCACATGATAAATAATACTATAATTTCGTAGAAAATACACGTCTGGCTGTTATTTACAATCACGAAAGCCCCGCCAGACTGCGAAAATAAGGGCAATGATTTTGATAATTTTTCCATCTGCCAGACATATTACCCATACTCACAGTTTAGCCAGACTATTTTTTTTTCATAAGTTCAGTATATCTCTCACTAATGGAATTATTTTTATCACTGGAAAAAAAAGTGCAATATATTTGTACTTTATAACGCAATTTCCGCCTTAACCCATCCGAAAACCCCCGCCTAAATATATATAAATTTTGCTCAGAATAACAAACCCAATAATTGTATCGGTGTTTGCCGACTGGGAAAATAAGTACCGAAAATCTTCACTGCCTCCCGGTTGGACGAGTCTGGCAAGGCTTTCGGAGTGTTCCACATTAGCCAGACTATATTTGCAGCTGTAATTATAATATAAACTATCATCTCACAAAATTTTTAGGACTGCGAAAATAAGGGCAATGGTTTTGATAATTTTTCCACCTGCCAGACATATTACCCATACTCACAGATTAGCCAGACTATTTTTTTTCTTAAGTTCACTATATCTCTCACTAATGGAATTATTTTTATCACTGGAAAAAAAAGTGCAATATATTTGTACTTTATAACGCATTTTCCGCCTTAACCCATCGGAAAACCCCCCCCTAAATATATATAAATTTTGCTCAGAATAACAAACCCAATAATTGTATCGGTGTTTGCCGACTGGGAAAATAAGTACCGAAAATCTTCACTGCCTCCCGGACTAGAATTTCAGTTGCTCCGAACTTGGGAGCATCATGCGCACAGAGTTCTCCTCTGTGATCATGCGCAAAGCAATTGTGACGCTGTTTCTTTGCGCTGTTATGAGCACACAGAAGAAGACCAAATAAAGGAGGAGTAACAAGTTGTGGTCGAGAGTAGGGATGTCAATCCCGGGATCCCGAAATCCCGGGGTCCCGAAATCCCGGGGTCCCGGGATCTCGTAAAAAATCCGATCCCGAAAATCCCGGGATTAAAAGTCCCAATCCCGGGATCTTAGTAATAAGTTACAAAGAATAAAATAGACTTTTTTTTAAGCGTTTGACATTTTTCATATTATAATACTCATAAGCATATACATATATAAACACTTCATTTTTTTACTCAGTTCAAGTCAAATTATTATACACCGCCGTACAATAATGAAAATACATTGAAATTACATAGCAAGAGTGGTTCCATTTATAGCATAAAATCAGCAAAGAAAATAAAAAATTACAGGTCACTGTAGAATAAATTTATGTACATAACCTATAATATAACATATTTCAAACGTCAAACCTGAAAAAATGTCACAAACTTGATAATTTCAATGTAAGTTACAGCCCCAATTGGAACTCACCAAGGCCCGATTGATAAAAGATATGGAATTATTTGTTAATGGGGGTAAACGTGGGTACAATGTGCCTACGAATTCTTGAAAACCATTCTTCCGACTAGTGTGAAGTCCGAAAGATATCGTTCGTTAGTTTGTTTGTTGATTTATTTTAAATTGGTTTTAAAATTAATGATATATATTTTTTCGGGACTGATCCAGGGATCCCGGGATTAGTTACCTTTGGTCCCGAAAGGCCCGGGATTGGAAAATGGGCTCGGGATTGACACCCCTAGTCGAGAGTTACTTCTTCACGGTAGGGCTTAAGTAATTTAAATGCAAGTTGAAAGCAACTCTAAATTTCCTTGCGTGGTATGTTTTATTTTGTAATTAGAAGTCAAAATATCAAAAAACCAAAATCGCAAATCAGCCCGTTTCTTTTTTTTAACCAAATTATGATTCTTTTTAATGACATTTAAATGTATATTCAAAATAATTAATAAATAAATAAATGTGTGGATGCATTTATACTAGCGTCTACGTCCCAACTGCAACTTCGGTGCCCTGGCGCTGTTGCCTTTCAATATGCAATTGTGTGGAAAATTTAAATATCCCGCCATTAAAAATTACAGATTCTTCTAGCCAGAAAATATTATTAATTAAAATTATTATAATTAGGAAATTTATTATAAATCAATGATTGTTTTATTAAGCATAGGCATATCTGCTTTTATCCGCAAACCTGATTTTATCCGCAAACATCTGATTTTATCCGCAAACATCTGATTTTATCCGAAAACATCTGCTTTTATTCGCAAACATCTGCTTTTATCCGCAAACATCTGCTTTTATCCGCAAACATCTGCTTTTATCCGCAAACATCTGATTTTATACGCAAACATCTGATTTTATCCGCAAACATCTGCTTTTATCCGCAAACATGTGTTTTAATCTCCAAACATCTGATTTTATCCGCAAACATCTGCTTTTATCCGCAAACATCTGATTTTATCAGCAAACATCTATTTTAATATGCAAACATCTGCTTTTATCCGCAAACATCTGATTTTATCCGCAAACATATGCTTTTATCCGCAAACATCTGATTTTATCCGCAAACATCTGCTTTTATCGGCAAACATCTGCTTTTATCCGCAAACATCTGATTTTATACGCAAACATCTGCTTTTATCCGCAAACATCTGCTTTTATCCGCAAACATCTGATTTTATCCGAAAACATCTGATTTTAATCGCAAACATCTGATTTTATCCGCAAACATCTGCATTTATCCGCAAATATCTGCTTTTATCCGCGAACATCTCCAAACATCTGCTTTTAATTGCAAATCTCTGCTTTCATCCGCGTTCGGTTTGCCTGTATTTCCTTTGTCCATTTCGGTCCTGTTTCGTACGCAAACGTCTGGTTTCATTCGCGCTTTTTGTTTTCCTTTTTCTCGTGTATACTTTACCCAGACAGCACACAATATCCATTGGATATCCATTGGATATACCTATATCCACTGAATGTCCAGTCCATGAACGGATATCCAGTGGACATCCAATGTATATACTTTAGGGATATTAGCATAAGGACAATTTGCGTCAAAATTTACTAATAAATATTAGAGACAAATATATTAATACATTATTGACATATGCCTTGATATTTCTAATAATTTACTTTGAAATAAATAAAACTTTAATGGATATCTAATGGATATCCAGTGGATGTCCACATAGATATTATAACTACATATCTATATCTATAGAGCCAAAGATAAAAAAGGATTGTTTCAGTTAAAATTATTCTAGACGTTTTTTAAGCATTATGTTTATGAGATACAACCTATGAAATTAGAAGTATAATTTAATGTAAGTTTTCATGGATATCTAATGTATATCTAATGGATATCCACTATTTTAGACTACGTCACATGAGACTCTCGAGAATCATTGGCCCGGCCGACGCGCTTGCGTATTGTGCTCCCATGTCTCTGCGCAAACAACAAACACCGTGAAACGTTTATTTTTATATGTCTGCTGTTTTAAGATTGTGTTTTTAAGTGTCAGTTTTCCCATCATATTTATTGTTTTTACGGTAGGTAAGTTCCTTTATTTCTTGTTTGATTGTGTGGTATTGTGGTGTATACTTATATTATAGGTGTCTTTCATATTGCACACACACATTACATTGGGATTTTGGTTTTTATTTGAGGCCTTGTTTATTTACCGGCTTCTGTTAACTATGGCGGGATGTTTTTTATTGCTTTAGCTAATACCTACCTAGGTAAAACTACTAATTTATTAGACATGCATGTGTATTAGATGCAGGGGCGGATCTAGAATGTGTCATTGGGGGGGCGGAGTTGAAAATTTTTGTAAATAATAAGAAAGTTGAAATTAAAGTTATTCCATTTTTTTATTATTTTCTATATTAATTTAAAAAGTTATGTTCAATTTCAACTTGATAACTTACTTCCGGTGGGGGCGATCGCCCCCATCGCCCCCCCCCTTGGATCCGCCAATGATTAGATGTCTGCTTGTACAAGTATGTTTACTTTATAAAGTAAACTATTATAATAATTATTATTGTAAATTAGGTAATTTTTTTTTTTATTTCTAAATTAGATGCTAAATATGAATTTTTTGATAGATTTGCCTTTATTTTTCTTTTACAGAAAGAAAAACAATGATATAATGCCTCTACCAGAATAAATTATAATTTAATTAATAAGTTAAAAAATAATAATTTTGTTTATAATTATAAATAAAATATTACAAACATATTCATTGATGTTTTTCTATACCTTTCAATCAAAATACAATTAATTCATGTCAAATATATATCTATATATACATATATATATATGTACTACACATGTGTACAGTGGATTGCCAAATTATTAAAGACAGTAGTAATTTCTTCCAATTTCGAAGTTTGGATGAGAAAAATAATTGACCATTTTTAAGTTTTTTTATTTTGTATATTTGCTCTTATTGCCTGCTATATTTTTTCAAAATATACAGGGTTATACCCCCTGAAAAATTATTAGGTATTTGAAAATTATTTTTTTTATTCAATTGGACATTATATATTATATTTTTAGTAAGTAATGTAATGTTTTTTTAAAATAACTAAAAATAAGTACAGGGTGATCCATTGTAAATGTCCACCCCCAAGTAGGTTTTATAGTTTTATTAATAATTATTGTTATTGTTTATATGGTAAATATTAAATATTAAATAGTTCAACAAATGTGTTTCTGTGAAAATCACTCAATAAAGACGTCAAAACAAATAATGAAACGATGAAAAAATGACGACCCATGGCCTAAGTGAAATTTCAGTTTTTGGCATTTTCTGCCATATATATTAAAAATATCCATAATGTCATATATATTTTTGAAATCAGCGTTTAAAGAGCTATCACATAAGGATATAAAATATAGGTCATTCCATAGGAAAAAAATATGTTTTTATCTGTTATTTTTTGGATCCCCCTGTATACGTAAACATAACACGAAAAAAAACTTTTAGTTGAACCCTACAACTTTTATATAAAACTTTTTTTTCTAAAATCTAAAGAAAAAAAGTTAGGGGGGTGGACATATATAATGGATCACCCTGTACAACATAAGTATAACATTAAAAAAAAAAAAATAGATGTTCCATTAAAAAAAACTTTTAAAATCGCCATTTTTCACAGGGTACCTATAAAATATTATATAATATTTAAAAAAAAAATATATATATATTTTTTAAAATATCTGAGCCTTGTTGAGTTTGTTATGTATGCTGCAGTACCAACATGTTGATACTATAGTATCAACATGTTGGTACTGCAGCATACATAACAAACTCAACAAGGCTCAGATATTTTTCTCACTACATCCAACAAACATTTAAAATTGGAATATATCCAATGGATATCCACTGGATATCTGTGAATATCAGCTAGATATCTATGTGGATATCCATTGGATATTTGCTATATCCTGGATATACCTAGGCGGACATTTGGATATCTATAGAATATCTAATGGTTATCCATGAATATCCAGTGGATATCTTGGATATCCAAAAAGTATATCTAATGGATATTTTGTGCTGTCTGGGTAGTTAAGTTTACCTGCTTTGTCAAATTTTACTGAGCTTTAACTAACTGGTTGTTAGCCGTTCACGGCACACAACTTTATAACTCTAAAAAGAATTATTTGAATAAAAACAACCTCTAAAGAAAATAAGTTTATTCAACACGACATTTTCCCAATGGGAAAATAATTTAATTATATTCACCAGATTTAAATTTAATAATCAGGTATACTATAGTAAAGAGTACCACAGAAATAATAAGTCTATTAATTCTTACAGAAATAATAAGTCTATTAATTCTTACATATTAAAAATATTGGTTATGCCAAAATTAAAAAGTTTTTAAAGTTAGATGAAAAATTCTACGCCTAAATAAGTGTTTTTCAAACAAATTCCATACAAATTAAAGATGTTATAATTCCAAATGTATTTGAAATTAAACATATAATATATTAAATTAATTAAATTAATTGTTAGAAAACATATTAGAGGCTAAATGTAGCAAGTATTCCTCAAGGTTATGGCGAATAGCTGTCATCTTGGTTATGCAGGTACACTGCATTGTGCCATACCAAACCAACCCAAACTTAACAACCCGCTGTCAATATTTAAATTTAGTTCGCGCGATTCTTCAAATCGCCTTGGGTTACTGCCGTTTGCATGAGTGTGGGGTACCCCACCCCGTGCCCATCACAGTCCTTAAAGTATACACGAGAAAAAGGAAAACAAAAAGCGCGAATGAAACCAGACGTTTGCGTACGAAACATGACCGAAATGGACAAAGGAAATGCAGACAAACCGAACGCAGATGAAAGCAGATGTTTGCAGTTAAAAGCAGATGTTTGCAGATGTTCGCGGAAAGCTCAGTAAAATTTGACAAAGCAGATAAACTAAACTAAAGTATACACGAGAAAAAGGAAAACAAAAAGCGCGTACGAAACAGGGCCGAAATGGACAAAGGAAATGCAGGCAAACCGAACGCGGATGAAAACAGAGATTTGCAATTAAAAGCAGATGTTTGGAGATGTTCGCGGATAAAAGCAGATATTTGCGGATAAATGCAGATGTTTGTGGATAAATGACTTAAGTCAGATGTTTGCGATTAAAATCAGATGTTTGCCTATAACATCAGATGTTTGCGGATAAAATCAGATGTTTGCGGATAAAAGCAGACATTTGCAGATTAAAATCAGATATTTGCGTATAAAATCAGATGTTTGCGGATAAAAGCAGATGTTTGCGTATAAAATCAGATGTTTGCGGATAAAAGCAGGTGTTTGGAGATAAAATCAGATGTTTGCGTATAAAATCAGATGTTTGCGTATAAAATCAGGTTTGCGGATAAAAGCAGATGTTTGCGGATAAAATCAGATGTTTGCGGATAAAATCAGATGTTTGCGGATAAAATCAGATGTTCGCGGATAAAACCAGATGTTTACGGATAAATGCAGATGTTTGCGGATAACATCAGATGTTTGCAGATAAAATCAGATGTTTGCTGATAAAAGCAGATATTTGCAGATTAAAATAGATGTTTGCGGATAAAAGCAGATGTTTGGAGATTAAAACAGATCGTCCCCAAATTCACGAAATGGCGTATATGAAGATTTAAGTTATACAAAAAAGCAATTTTCTGAAATAAACGTTTAGCATTTTAAACGTTTATTCCAGAAAATTGTTTTTTTTGCATAACACAAAACTTCAAACACCCGTATCGGAAGATTTGTGTTATGCAAAAAAGCAAATTTCTGGAATAAGTGTTTAGTATGCTAAACTTTTATTTCAAAAAATTGCTTTTTTGCATAACTTAAATCTTCATATACGCCACTTCGTGAATTTGGTGACGAGATGTTTGCGGATAAAAGCAGATGTTTGCGGATAAAAGCAGATGTTTGCTGGTGAAATCTTATGAATCAGACTTTTGCGGACTAAATGAGATGTTTGCGGATTAAAACAGATGTTTGTGGATTAAAATAGATCTTCACGTATAAAAGCAGATGTTTGCAGGTGAAATGGGATAAAGCAGACGTTTGCGGATTAAAGTAGATGTTTGCGGATAAAATCAGATAAAACCGGGTGAATGCAGATATAAACTCAAATACAGGTATTTGCGGATGAAAACAGATAAAAGCAGACATAGATCTAAATAGATTAAACCCGACGTTCGCGGATAATATTTATACTCGCAATTGCAGATAAAAACCGACATGCCGGATAAAATCAGATATGTCGGATAAAAACAGATATAAATGGACATAAAACTAGCTTGGTTTTTTATCCGCAATCATCCGATATTACCCGTCTTTTTCAGCAGGGTAAAATAAAACAGTCGTAGAGCGATAAAATTATAAAATTACTTTGCTGTACGACTGTAAGATTCAAATTTTAATATATTAATTAGATCGATAAACTAGGGTATGATAATTATAGACTTACCTATAGTCAGTTTACAAGATGCTATACGCTAAGTCTATTCAAATCCAAATTTTGCATTGGTTTTTAGAAACGTAAAAAAATAATTACAAAAAAATTGCCGATGAATTTTAATAAAATTATTTGATAACGGATTTTTTGTTCAGCCATTAAAAAGTATAAACTTTTGTAGCGGACCTACTTTTTGAACAAACGGAAAGATAAATTTTTCATGGTTAACCAAGTTTCTGTTTTTATCTAGCCACAAAATTTGCTGCATGTGAAGTCACAGTCTTATATTTAATTTTATTTCGTTAAGATGTTAATACTTGTGTGTTTATTTGCAATTATTTTAAAAACTACCGCTTTTAATTTGGATTTATATAATGCAGTTATTTTCGAAGATCCAAAAATGGAAGCGAATGGCAAGAGTGAATCCTATTTTGGTTTTTCAGTTGCATTGACTAACCATTTGAAAAACAAAACAGGAAGGTGAGTTTTTTACATTTACAGTGCAGTGGGCCACTGCCAATGGCTTGAAAATGACTTTTTAATACCCAATTTTTTATGCATTTTATAAAATTTTTTCCTCAAATGAATTTACCTACATAAAAATGGCCCATTACATTTTGTACGTAGGACTCATAGACTCACAGGTCTGTGAATAGACTAATATACAGCGGCGTAACAATGCAGTTAGGGGGCTGTGTTCTATGAAATTACTAATTTACGTTTATAAAAATATTTTTTTTTTATAAAAAATATAAATATAACAAAAAAAAATAAAAACTAAAGTAGTATTTGTTAAAATTTCCAAAAAAATTGAGCCGGCAAAAAAAACTTTTTTTCAGAAAATTGCGAAGAAGAATTTGTTTTATTAATTTCAATTTAGAAATAGTATATTCTGTAACAAGTTAGGAATACAGCATATTTCGCTCGAGTGAAGAGTTTGTCACACGAGCCGAAGGCGAGTTTGACGGTTTTACGAGAGCGGAATATGCAATTCCAAACGTGTTTCAGACTATACTTTTTCTACGTTTCCAAAAAATACCATAGAAAAATAATTTAATTGGAAGAAAGTGAGGTTGCATCCGTCTAAAATTTGTTAGATATTAAAAACAGAGATGTCGCCACGAATGTTTATTCTGTCATCCGATGATAGAGTATTTCATTCTGTAACACTTTACGGAATATATGTCATTCCATAGATAAAAGAGATATTAAAACATTCAAATTCCGTAATAGGAGTAGAAAAACGTCATTTCTGCTGTTGTAACGGAAACAGGAATAACGAGGAAAATAAAGCAGGCTGTTATAATTTCACTAAAGTTACTAAAAAAGTAAAATTTTCAATTAAAATAAATTCCTTAAACCGCAATTTAAGTAAGATCCAAACAATTAAAGAAATACTGGAATTAATTTTATTCAAAAATTCTTTAAAACAATGTCTAAATGAAATAAGCTGAGATGAGATCGTATCAAAAATATCACCTGAATATTTCACATAAAATTCCTGGCCAAGCTGAGATAATTTAAGTATTTTATAGAAACTGAATCATTACATAGAAAATCCGCAGATAACACTCAAAAAGTTTTATATTTTCACATCCGGGATATTCTAATTTTTAATTGGAAAATAACAATATCCAACGTTTTATACATATACATATGTTTATTTTCAACCAAAAAACGTTTGGACCTAGTTCTCCTCTTTTTCTCAAATTTCACATTTCCTATGGTAATATTTACAAAAAAATGTATAAAATGCTATCAGAGAAAAGTACCTTTATTTATTATTTTATAGAAAAATGACGACAATTCAAATTTAAGTCTAAAAACGAAATATTTTCATTTAAATTAATTTATTTATATATTTTACGAAAACTATGAATTTAATCGCTTAAACTAGGCTCAGTAGTTTTTTGTTTGGTTTTCCTTGGAAAATGTTGAATGTAAAATAATTTAATAAAATCACGAGACCGCGTAGCGGTCGAGGGGTTTTATTTTTAAATATTTTGCATGAAACTATTTTCCAAAAAGAAAAATCAAATAAAAACTTACTGAGCATAGTTTGACAGATTATAGATTGACAGGGCCGGATTAAGAGTTTTGAGGCCCTGGGGCCGACTTTTGGTGGGGGCCCTCAATATTTCTAAAAGTGTTGACACTTGGGAAATTAAAACTGATGGTTAATTTTTAAGCTAGAGGAACTTTACGTGATTTTTTATTATCTTTGAATCATTTATTATTTAATAAACCATATAAATTTTAATAAAATCGGCCAAACCGTTTTTAAGCTGTAAATAAAAAACGAAACACCCTGTATCTCGATAATGAAGCATTTTCGGACACGTGTTTATAGGAACTTTTTTTCATATTTTAATGAGAGGAATTTCCCCTGAGCTTTTGTCACCACAAGTTTGAATCACCCTGTATATTTTGAATAATACGAACATAACCTTATACATTTTACCCAAGTCTCTTATACATTTTACCCAAGTCTGAGAAATTATAAATTCGTATGCAAAACTATAAAAACGTAGATAGTATCTACTATTCTAGAATAGAATTGTGAATGAAAGTGTTTTTATATATTTTGAATAATACGAACATACCCTTATATACATTTTACTCAAGTAAAATATAAATTGATCTATGTTTTGTTTGTATTTTTAATACTTACCGCAAACTGAAAAAAAAGTACATTAAAAGTCGTATTATTTGTCTGTTTTTCATACAAAATCAAACAATCTTTTGTTCAAAGAAAAGCACGAAACAGTATTTCGGAAACACCGGAAAATATTCCACAACACTCCAATGCAATGTACCAATAAAAATCTGGGACAAAAACTAACTTTAATATTAGATTATAAGTAATTGACTGTTTGCCTAAAGTGACCATTCGTCCTGGATTTTGCGGGACAGTCCCGGATTTTATTAACATGTCCCGCAAGAGTAAACGTCCCGGAAATGTCCCAAATTTTGCGGTTAATCACTATAGTGACATATATGTGTTTTTACTAGAATAATTTCTTACACAAAATAAAAAATTTGTAAAATTATAATTATCACAAAATAAAAAAAAAGTTTCGGCTGTTCACAAGTAAAAAAATACTGAAGAAAAATTGCCTCAATTGACTAAAAAAGTTTCCATTGACAAAAGATGGGTTGAGATTTTTCAATATTTTCTCGTCTTTTAATATTATGTAAGGGAACGCATAATATTAAAAGAATTGTAGAATTATGCATGCCTACCAGCTGGTTCCTAGGAACTAATGCTCCCACCGAACGGGTATTTTCTGGAATAAATATAATGTGGACTTCATAGAAAACACTTCTGTCCGAGAATGCATTTTGTAAAATATAATTTAGAGAATTCTTCTTGTGAAGAATGTTATAATTCTGTAAAAAATTATGACGGAAAATTTGTTTAAAAAGGAGTAATTTTCAAATATATATTTTTATATAAGTATAAAATTATAAAATTCTGCATGATGGAATGATATGAATATTATATTATTTGAATGATGATTGATGTAAACGATTTTCTGTTTTCTCGACCACACCCTCCCATCGCCTTCGTATCGACAAATTGCGCCTGCCGCGGACTTTTCCGCTTTTGGCTGATTTTTTTTTGGCTTTGTCCCGGATTTTGACATTTTTGATGTGGTCACTTTATGTTTGCCTATATTTACAAAAACTTTACGACAAGCACTAAAGGAGCAACTGCTTAAAATTGTTATGTCATAACTTACGACTATAGACTATATAAAAACGTCTCCGCGCGCCAAAACTTTGAGTGTGATAATTTACATTCTGATTTGCAAGCGGATAAGCGATAAAAAATTCACGAAAAATTAGAGTTAGATCTACGAAAAATTAATTGAAAATTACAGGATTCGCGCGGTATAATCGACCCAATTTTTTATTTTTTTCGTCAATTTTTTTCATATTTGTTTCATTAAAAAGATACATATTGCATTGGTGGGGGCCCCTAAATGGTGGGGGCCCTGGGGCCGTGGCCCCGCTGGCCCCGTGCTAAATCCGGCTCTGTAGATTGAGTAATATACGTCTAGATTATTTCTCGAATTAAGAAGAAAACAACCTATTTGACAATTAATACAACCTGACGCATACACACATATGTCCACCAGTGGCGGCTGGTGGATTTTAAGTATACCAATATCTCAGTTATTAGACATGGGACCCACACCAAATTTATAATAGTTTATATTGACATTAAATAAACAAGTTCGGCGCAAACAGAATTTAAATTGAAGTTTGCGAAAAAAAGTTAGTTTTTCCTGTCGCCTACCCTGCCTCCAGGCCCCCCTATTTGAGATAATTCAAATTAAAGTGGTGCAATTTATTATCTACTATAATTTATCGACAAATTTAAAATTTTATTCAAAAAATCCAAATATTACAGATTTTATTCGATTTTAAATTTTTATTATTTATTTTATTAAAATAAAAAAATATTTAAAATGGTATAAAAACTGTAATATTTGGATTTTTTAAATAAAATTTTAAATTTGTCGATAAATTATAGTAGATAATAAATTGCACCACTTTAATTTGAATTATCTCAAATAGGGGGGCCTAGAGGCAGGGTAGGCGACAGGAAAAACTAACTTTTTTTCGCAAACTTGAATTTAAATTCTGTTTGCGCCGAACTTGTTTATTTAATGTCAATATAAACTATTATAAATTTGGTGTGGGTCCCATGTCTAATAACTAAGATATTGGTATACTTAAAATCCACCAGCCGCCACTGATGTCCACGTAACACCACAGTAAGTATTAGAAAAGATAATGCATAAATATTCACAAATTCATTAAGTAATAAAATCAATGAAAAAATAACGATTTGTAAATAAAAATTATTTGCTGATTTGTGAAAAATCTAGTAGTTAATTTTCCTGTCTTTGAAAATAGCACCCATTTGGTTTGAAATAGATAAGCAATAATCACGAAACTTTTTCTTCTTTCAATTTGCAAGTTACTGATTATTAATGTATTATAGTCCTGGACAGGGCCGGATTTAGCATGGGGCCAGCGGGGCCAAGGCCCCAGGGCCCCCACCATTTAGGGGCCCCCACGAATGCAATATGTAGCTTTTTAAAGAAACGAATATGAAAAAAATTGGCGAAAAAACAAAAAATTTGGCCGGTTATATCGCGCGAATCCTGTAATTTTCAATTAATTTTTCGTAGATTTAACTCTAATTTTTCGCGGTTTTTTTATCGCTTATCCGCTTGCAAATCAGAATTTAAATTATCATACTCAAAGTTATGGCGCGCGAAGACGTTTTTATATAGTCTGTAGTCACAATTTTAAGCAGTTGCTCCTTTCGTGCTTGTAACGTTTTTGTAAATACAGGCAAACAGTCAATTACTTATAATCTTATATTAAAGTTAGTTTTGTCCCAGATTTTTATTGGTACATTGGAGTGTTGTAGAATATTTTCCAGTGTTTCCGAAATACTGTTTCGTGCTTTTCTTTGGACAAAAGATTGTTTTGTTGTTTGATTTTGAATGAAAAACAGACAAATAATACGACTTTTGATGCTCTTTTTTCAGTCTGCGGTAAGTATTAAAAATACAAACAAAAAATAGATCAATTTATATTTTACTTAAGTAAAATATATATAAGGTTGTTCGTATTGTTTAAAATATATAAAATATAAAGTATATAAAAACACTTTCATTCACAATTCTATTCTACTATCTACGTTTTTATAGTTTTGCCTACGAATTTATAATTTCTTCAGACCTGGGTAAAATGTAGGTATATAAGGTTATGTTCGTATTATTCAAAATATACAGGGTGATTCAGACTTGTGGTGACAAAAGCTCAGGGGGAATTCCTCTCATCAAAATATGAAAAAAAGTTCCTATAAACACGTGTCCGAAAATGCTTCATTATCGTTTAAAAAAATGAGTTTTTTATTTATAGCTTAAAAACGCTTTGACCGATTTTATTAAAATTTATATGCTTTATTAAATAATAAATGATTCAAGGATAATAAAAAATCACGTAAAGTTCATCTAGCTTAAAAATTTACCATGAGTTTTAATTTCCCACCAAATGTCGGCCCCAGGGCCTCAAAACTCTTAATCCGGCCCTGGTCCTGGACAATATTTACATTATAATTATTATTAATTTCTTTTATAGAAATTCCTTTTAAAGCATATTAAGCCAAAGCCAAATTAATTGCATTTTTTTGGTACGAATTTTGACAACTCAACTTGACTCAACTTGACAACCCTACAATAATTTAAACATAACCACAATTACATTATAATTACATTTATAACTTGTTTGTAGTTTTTGTAGTTTGTGTTTTAATCATTGCAACCAATTTTGGTTCCGTATTTACCAACCAAAACCCTAAACTTGCAACTTTGCCGCAGATAAAAAAAAGAATTTTATTTAGACATACATTTAAAATTTCAAAAACTCTCTCTTACCTATAACATTTTTCTATAAAATAATAATTAATACTTTTGTTTTAAAGCATTTACATGTTTTCTTTTCTGAGCCATGGATTAACGTTTTTTATGTAAATTAAATTATTTTATCAATCAGAAATTTTTATGAAGAATAAATGTTTTGCGTAAACGCATAATAACTATTTCAGTGGCGTAACTAAACAATACAAATAAATTTTAATCTTGTTTATTACGCTAATGATTCTGTCTAAATCTGTATAAATCATAAAAGGGGATTTTTGAACCGGTCTCCAGAGGCTCAAAACGGGCCTCCAATATCAACGCCACTGAACTATTAGCGACCCGATCCTGGGACATAACATGGACCTATAGGTATAATATATTCGTGGCGCAGACCATGGTCAAGTGCACTTGTTTCTTTGTGGGTCAGTGATCGATTATCAAGACAAAGCAAAAATAAGTATATACAGTATAGTATATATACTATATAGTAAGTAAGTAATATAGTAAGAATAATAGTAATTCAAAATTTAAAAAAAATAGATTGTATCTTTTTCCCATTACCGCAGCAGGCTTAAAATTGGTTTAATGGACAATAGTTTTTTACAATATAAAATATTTTTAAAACTTGAAAATCTCACAATAATTTTGTTTTAAGAGCAGGCTTAAAACGAAAATTTAAAAAAGGCCAATTTGGCACATTTTTTGCAAAGTTAACGTAATTTCTTCAAAATTAATATTTCCTAAGAAAAATCATGGAGGCTGGTCTTAACCAGTACTAAAACAAATAAAAACGGAGATGCAAAAGCAAAATATCCAATTGGCGTGGTAAACTAGGCGCCTTGCTCTAACTCTTCTTGAAAACTATTAGTCCTAAGTGATTTATGTATTGAAACATTTTTATGCAGATTTATATGAGGAACAAATTTTATAATATCCAAAATGCACGTAAATTCAATAGTTTACGAGATAATCAAGAAAAACTGTTTCCTGACCTTCGATATTTGGCAAGGCCGACACGATTTTGCTTGGGACTTTTGAGAAACGAATCGAAAGAAAAATCTTAACTTAATAATATTTTAGCATATTTATTGGAGCACCGAAACAAACAAATCCAAACCCTAAAATTGAAAAAAGTGGAGTAATGTATAAATGCTCCTTTACCCAAAACTGTACAACATTAGATTTCCCATTAGGTATTTAACAATAATACTTAATAGATGATCAATTTATTTATTTTTTCATATTATTTATTTTTTAGATTCGTTTAAAAGTAAATTTGTTGCAATGCAAAATGCGTTTATTGGAGGAAGCGCAGATATTAATAGTAATAACGAGTTACTTATTGTAAGTACTGCAAGTCGCGTAAAATGAACGTTATGGTTTGATTTGGTGGCGGCCCGTGATATTTTATTTTGGTGAGGCAGGGACAACCCAAGTAGCAAAATAGGTTTTTTTAAGGTATACAAGGGCTTCATAAAACTACTCTTAAGGGTAATTTGCCTTGCTTAGTTAAAACCTATTTGCTTTAACAGCAGCTATAAAGCTTCGATACAACCTTCATAGGGCTAAAAAGGAGAATCCTATCGCTGTCCTTAGGAGCAATTTGTATGTCAGCCACAAAGCAATTTTGCTTTATTGTATTACTCCTAAGGCACACCTTACAGCAGCCATAAAACCTAACTTACAGCTGTCATAAAACCTGCAAGTGCGATAGGTTTTAAGGAGGTAGTGTATTTTTGTCGTAAACACATTTTAGCTGACTATTTGTACTTATTGATATACCTTTTTACTTTATTGTTGTATTTTGTAAATTCCATATTGCTTTAATCAAATACTTGTTTGGTGTATTGTTGCCTTATGGAACAGTAATCTGTTTCACAAGCATAGGCCACAATTTTAAAGGCTTTAGCTAAATTACTTACCCGATCTACATTCCGTTTTTTAAGCCATCTCTTATCGAAAAAATATTCTCTAACATGCTCGTAAAAACCAAATTTTTTGAAATTTTTTGAAAAATATTATCTATTTGTATTTTAGATTAAAATTATTTCATTATGGCGGAGCAATATTTTCTAATTTAAATGGCGGTTTCAGTTATAAAACAATGTACTCTTGCAAACAACTGCTAAAAAGTTTAATTGCTTTAAAAAGTGTTTATAACTATTTGTTAAAACTAATAAGCCCTATGACTGCAATTTTCAAGGCAATCATAAAACCAATTGGCATTTTGTGCGAGCATTTTAAAACAACTTTGCAGTATTTTCATCAAAAGTATCGCCATCAGGGCTATACTGCTTTGTCAGATGATATCATAACCTAAAAATTGTCAAATATTTTTTATTGTTTCCGAAGGCATTAATTGAGTCGTATAGATTCAAAACCCGCCAAATCCATTTATTGAAAGTAAAGGACAGAAGACATGTTTCCATAACAACATAATTAATATGTATTGCAAACATATCTACTGTCCTTTACTTTCAATAAATGGATTTGGCGGGTTTTGAATCTATACGACTCAATTGCTGTGATAGAATGATGCGGATTTAGCTCTTGGTCGGAACAGGACGTTGAAGGAATACAATGAGTATTCCTTTAACGATGTTTTGCCAACAACACAGAAGAACAACTTTTAACAGCTCTTACAGTGTCCAACTTTGTTTTTCAATAAAAATTTCCACTTTTTTTAACTTTTAACCACTGCTCTAAAAAACTTGTCATGCATGGCGGCGACATGTTGACAAGAGTTATTTTCTTCGCGATTATCAAGACAAAAACGTTTTAAGAAAGAAATAATAGCAACAAAATGGTTTACACTCATGCAAATTTGAAAATTGAAAAGCAAATTGGTTATATTAAAGACGTATTGCTGCTCTACAAGGAACAATCATAAAACCTTTTTACTGTTTGGTTCTGTAACATTCTTACATAGAGGAAAAGTAGTCCTAAGACCAAATGCTCCTATGAGTCGGCTTTAACAGATGCATTAAAGCCAACTTTCCGAGCACCATTAAAACCAATAGGCATCTGATAAACCTTCATAAAGCTTATTGGACTATAGGCGTTTCTTAGGGCCAAGTTGCCCTAAAAAAGCATTATTGGTTAACAGTAATAAATCAATGTTAAGATCAAATGGTTATAATTGCAAAAAGGTTTTAATACTTTACTTTAAAGTCGCTCATAAAGCCTAATCATAAAGCTTCCCAATGAGCCAGTTTCCGGAAAGTTTCTTGAAATTTGCTGGATAGTTCCAAGAAATGTTTCCGTCCGTTTTGAGGCATATGCGTCAGGAATAGGCCCGCCTTTGGACGGCAAAAACGTTCACCAACCATTGAACGCAACATGACGGAAACTGTTTCTGACACCGAAAAAGTATTTACAGAAACTGAAGCGCAATTTGCTGGAAACAGTTTCCGTCTTATAAAATTTTGACAGAAACTTTACGAAAATTTAATGGAAACGATTTCTACTGTCAACTGTTTCCTGCATTATTCCAGCCATTGGGGAAAAAACATATATTAGAAATTTTGAGAAATATGGAAGAAATTGTTTCTCAAAGTTATTTCCGGCTTATTTCTTTTATTAATTCTTCTTAATCGTCAATAATTTTATTTGATTTTTCTTTTCTTTTCAAAATTATGGCAATAAAACAAGTATTTTAAAAGAACTTTTATTGTAACAAAATTAAAATATATTCTATAATAAATAAAAAAAATATAATATTCTAATTAAAACATTTTATAAATAAAGTTAATTATGGCTGCCCAATTATTTCAATAAAAATTATTATTTAAATAATTGGGCAGCTTCCGACTCCAAATTAGTTCTTTTTCTGGTCTCCCCGGGATTCCTTTCACGTGCGTTAATGATGCATTGTTTTAGAGATTTCAAGGATGCCGTTACACAATCCTTAACTTCTTCGTTTCTCGGCTTTGTATAAAAGTTTGATATCGATAGTGCACCTGTAACATTTCAATAAATAACAAGAAATCAACAATTTATAACAAACATTTCAATAAATAACAAGAAATCAACAATTTATAACAATTCACAGTTCAAAATGGCTTAAATAAATTAACCATCCATAACGTTAATTTAACCAGTTGTGCTACTTGGGTATTGCATATTTATCTAACACATAGTTTTCTGTAGAGAATAATAATTATTATGAATTTGGATGCTTTTTTGAGGAACAACAACACTACACTACAATAATATACCTACACGCTGACACAGACTCTTTCTAATCTATGCTGATACACGCTTAGACGCAAAGAACACGCAACTACACCTTAGAACATAGAAAAAGAATGCGGTTATCACCATAGAAAAAGTATATATCACAATGTATGTAATATATGTAATATATGTGGAGGTTATCTTTGGTTATGTCCGCGCACAATGGCGCCAAAAGCGCAGGGTTGCCAACAATCCACATGTGTGGATTGTGGGGTTGCCTACCTTAAATATTTTGTTCGCGTACAGATTATTAAATCTCGTGGTTTTGGCTCTTATAGGGAAACCTCGTACAATTTTTCTAAATAAAAAAAGGAAATATTAACCAATATTAAATACTTTATAATTAAAGGGGCAAGAGCAAAAATATGTTAACTTTTTTCGAGTTCAAATAGCCACTAAAACCAAAAGTTTGTTTGGCAGAAATACACCCGGCAACGTTGAAACCAAATATTGGCCTATAAAACTTCTAATTTAAAGAGGGGCAATAGTTATTTACCTAACAAGTGCGGAAAGTGATACTTTTCTTCGGTCAGCAGTCGAGTGCGGAAATGACACTTTGAGCACGTGTTGGGTAAAATGTTTTTTCTACAAGCGGGCGGAAAGTTGCTACTTTCCGCACGCTTGTAAAAAAAAATTGTACCTAACACGTGCTGAAAGTGTCATTTCCGCACGCTTGTAGAAAAAACATTGTACATAATACGTGCTGAAAGTGTCATTTTTGCTGCCTGAAAATAATAATTAATTTTTTTTATTGATGTTAATAAACTTGAAGAACATGTATGAAACAATTTCTGAAAAACGGTTTCTTGCAATTTGCATAAAATTCTCGGAAATTTTCTTTTCGAAACAGTTTGTGAGATATTGGCGAGAAATAATTTCTTCCAACTTGTCAAAATATTCAGAAACTTTTTTCTTGAAACAGTTTGTAGGATATTGGCAAGAAATAGTTTCTTCCAACTTGTCAAAATATTCAGAAACTTTTTTCTTGAAACAGTTTGTAGGATATTGGCGAGAAATAGTTTCTTCCAACTTGTTAAAATGTTCAGAAACTTTTTTCTTGAAACAGTTTGTAGGATATTGGCGAGAAATAGTTTGTTCCAACTTGTCAAAATGTTTAGAAACTTTTTTCTTGAAACAGTTTGTACGATATTGACGGCAATATTTGTGGAAACTGTTTCCGACGTATTGCGGGCGGATTGCGAGAAATGGTAGCAACGACATCTGGTTTCCCTCAAATTTACACTAACGTTACGGAAATGATCGTTGGGAAACTCATTTCTTTTAAATTTCCAGGACTACATGGCTCATTGGGTTCATTATCTCAAGACCAACTAGCACAAAGTAGAGCTGAAATAAAACAAATAGCATGTTTTCATGCATTTATAAAGCTTACATAAAACAGTAAAGCATTATCGGTGGCAACTCTTTGCTACTTGGGAAGGTTTCGTCCCTATTTAATATAAAATCAATGCAATGTTTTGAATATTTTATAATTTATGTAATCCAAATAGGTATTGAATTTTAATTTTAAAATATTTAACTTATCTTTAATTCTCTATGGGGAGGCACTGCCTCACCCCAAGCAACAATTTAAGTAATTGATACGCATATGGGACTATTTAATTTTGATTAAAATTTCGTCAATTAGACCAAAAAAATAAACATTAACTAAGAATTACTTAAATAATAACAGATTTCTGGTAATATTATTTCTAGTAATATTATTACTAATATATTATTAACACTCTGGACAGTTGTAATGAACACGTTACGAATTAGTATAAAATAAGCAGAAACATAAGTTGTAGACCCTGAAGTCAGTTGAACTTGTTGATGCGTATTGTCACTGACAATTTGTCAGTGGGAAATGTTTTGATTGACTGCCTGAAATCACCTGTACTTTTTCAACGAAATAATTTGTTAAACATTAACAGAATAATCTGTAACCTTTGAAATAACAAAATGCTTACAAAATTGCATATTACCTTTACAAAACTTTTGGTAAAATATTTTCATCTGTTAAAATAATTACACACTCTGGTTTTCTACAAAAGAACATGTTAAAATTTTACAAAGTAAAATTAACAATCTAAAAATTCATGTTAACAAAGGTGATTTTAATAACAGTGTAAATACCTACAATTACAAAAGTTATATCGAACCATAACGTTTATTTAACGCAATCCTCTATAATGTAGGTATTACCACAACCATTGATTAAGGTTTCCTTCATTCAACAACCACAACTATTAAGATGGAACGTATAAAATTACAAAAGGTTTAATTAAAAAAAAATACTGACACGATTTGACGTGAATGTCCTACAGTTCAAAACTATAGTTTATTATAATAATTGACGCGTTTCTCGGAAAAACATCATTAGTCCAAAATTAACATATTTGGGAAAATGAAAAAAACTCTCCGACATTCCCATTTTTAACCAAAGTACTTTATTGACCTATTTACTACATGTAAAAAAATGTAAGATACTTTGTCCAGAATTCGTCATGTTTGTATTTTCAAACGAATATGAAAAAAACACAAAAAATACATGAACATGTGAGGTTTTTAGAAGAAAAAAACAAACAATTCTCCTTACCACAAACACTACAAACTAAATACTAACTCTGAGTAACAAAATAAATGAAAAAACTAAAAACTGTATTACTGCCACACTCAGTCTTCGCATCCACAGCTGTTATCATCGTTGTCGACCGTGTTATCAGGACTGTCAGGTGCTATGGTCTTCTGCTCTTTTATCAAGTTATCATAAAATTTTCTATTGCTGTGGTAATGTAAAAGAGGTAGAAGCTTTTCTAGAGTGTCCAAAAACGTCACATGTTGTGTACATGTGACTTTCTTAGACGAAACGGAGTGGACTTGTGATGTTTTTAGAAGAACAAGCTAAATTTCATATTTAGTTATTATGGAACCTATGACATTTTTACGAGAAACACTTATTTGTATACGTATATATGGAGGTTAGGAAACAGTTGGTGCTAATATCTAAATTTCGACGATATTGGACTATATATCATTATAATGATGTTTTTCCGAGAAACGCCTCAATTTCATGGACTATTTGTCACATTAAATGAAATTTTCTAGTAATAATCTATATTATTCACCGGCTGAAGGACCTCGGTCAATGGCCATTTGTAAGAAATTGCAATAAAGTTCATTTATTTCTATATTATTTATTTCAAATTAATGGATTTTTTTCAGACCAGTGCTTCTTATAGCTATTATTATCATGACAAACCTAATTATTATATAAAGGGAATATTGTTTTTAACAAATTTAACAAATGAAAAAACGTCAACTATTTATCCTTTTGAGAAAGGTAAGTCCATACATTTAGAGCTGTATAATTGTTTACAAAAGTGTATATTAAAAATATTTAATAAATTTGCTACAAATTCAGATTTAATTAACATACAGGGTTTTACCGTAAAAACTTTTGCCTAATTTGCCTTGAATTTGCTCAGGTAATTTGTTAAAAAATGTTAAATAATTGACAAGGTTAATCATTTTTTTTTCGTTAAAATTTTACAAATGCGCGTCAATCATAAATAGCCTATAACTTTTTTGTTATTAGATTAAAAACGCTTTTAAAATTTCAAATCTTTTGCCGTTCCCCATAAACTTCTAATGGACCACGAACGTGAAAAACCCTGTATAAACTACTTTTTTTAGAAAGAAACATTGAAGAGGTGGGAGGAATTCAAACGGCTGTTTACGGACGAGCTCAAGCTGGATTTTCCGTTCATTTTCCAAAGGTAAGTACCGTAAAATGAGATAATACAAGGTATATTTTTTATTTTGAGAATGTCATTTAAAGAATTAAAAAACTGAAAACGTCAAAACCAAAAATCGTAAAATATCTATTTTTGTTATTCCTGGGAGTTTTGAAAAAAGTAAGTTTTACATGTAAACATACACGTTTATCTGCATTTTTATCCAATTTTTTATTTTGATTTGTTTTTCCCATGGCAAAAAAGTCAAGAAATCCAAAGATATTTATATCAATAAGCTGCGAAGGCAGCGGCGGATCGTGACTTTTCGAGGCCCTAGGCTACGCTTGTATACAAATATATTTGGGGCCCTTAGTCCATGTGTGTCCAATATATATATATATATATATATATATATATATATATATATACAAAATTCTATCATTGCTGCGTCCATACATTTATAAAATCCCTATTCTTATTGCGTCAGTATATCTGACGCACTAATGTCAAGCGCTTATTTCTTAAAATTTACTTCATCCCAGCCCTTTCTAAGATTCTTGCTAATACAGATCTGTGTAGAATTTAATGCTCAATTTTTGTGTCCAAAAATTTTTTATGTCCGACCCTGCGTTTTTTAAATATTTAGAAAAATTTGAACAAAAAAAATGTGCAGTAACATACTAAAAATGGAAAAAGTTAGTTCAACCCATTTGACGATGAGGGCGTTGCGATAATATACGTTTTTCAATATACGTGTTTTTAAATACTGTATGTTGTTGCGTCGCACAATTTGGCAACGTCTCGCCTATGATTTTAATATTTGAATTAAACTCACGATACTGTTGCGAATGGTAGCGCTGTCTCTCTCGCACCGTGTGACGTCACGCTAGAGACAGTTGTTCTTTCGTTTAAATGTTATCATATTATAATCTTGGGGCGCGCGTCGAGTTTTATGAAATTTACAATTATGACGGTCGATTTATTAAAACTGATTGTAAGATAAAATTGTTTTCTACATAAGTAATTGTGACAATGTATTTTTTAAATTATATATGCCGATGCAGATTTAAAGGCAGAAAAACGATTATCATTTTTTTACGCTTATAATCGTAAAAAAATGATCATCGTTTTTCTGTTAATTTTACTATTTCAAAAATAATAAAAGTTTTTCATGTTTTTAGATAGGTACTTAAAAAAAAGGTTAATATCAATGTAAATAACTACAATGTGTTTTATGTTATTAACAGGTAATTCAAAAAAATTTAAAAAAAGTAAAACATCAATGTTATAAATACAGGGTGTTTCTACTAAAAATTGACAATCTAAATTGAGCTTTTGTTTTTGAATTATCAAACTTTGTTTTGAAGTAAAACTTTTTATGTAAGTTATTTATGGGCGGATTAAAAAACAATTAGTTTTTAGTAAATTTTGACATTTTTTCTTTAGTATCTTTAGTAGATTTATTACAGTTTTTATACAAAATAACAAAAACACAATACAAATTTGAATGTCTTATAAAAATAATTATTATAATTTTAATTATTGTAATAATAATAATATTACATCATATTATAATAATAACATTAATAAACAAAATTAAACATAATAATATCAATAAACAATGCAGTAGCAAGTTAAATAAGTAGTTTCGAAACTCGAATGTTGAGCGGTCTATGGAATGTCACCCCGTCCATCATCTCTATGTTCAGGCATAATTAAATATATGTAAATATTAAAATCAAATAATACCACACAATGTTAGTTAAAAAAAATTGTCTTAATTTTAAAAACATTCAATCCCCCGGGGGCGTGGAAAAAATTATTTTTAAAAATTAAAAAAAAAAACAGCTTATACAAATACTCTTCTCACAACTTTTTTTGTGAGATTTCCAAAAATAATTATTTCAGTCCAGCCTACCGAATTTCTAATTTTTGCCGCGCCCCCGGGGGATTGAATGTTTTTAAAAAAAATTTTAACTTACATTTTGAGTTTGGCATATTGAAAAACTATAAGGTATTTATTAATTTTAATTTTAAGCCCCTCCCCAAAGCTTTTAAAGTTCTAATATGCAGCGTGGTGCGAGGCGTAAAATTAAAATATATAAATATTTTTTTTGTGTGTCTTAAGTAAGTTAATACCCAATAGTTTTTTAATATGCCAAATTCAAAATTTAACTTAAAAAATATTTTTTATTGAATTTTGAGGAATTTCAACCCCCCGGGGGCGCGGCTAAATTTGTTTTAAAAAATTTGAAAAAAACAGCTTATTTGTGTAAGTAGGTACCCTTCTTACAATGACAATGAACCCTCAAAAAAATAAAAGTTCCCGGGAATTTTTTGAATTTAGTGATTTTTTTTATGTTCACGGAAATTTTTGTACTAAAATTGTACACCTTTTTGTGGCCTAGTTTACACAATAGATTTGGTCAATAAGTAGGGAATTAACTTGGAAATTAGTAAAATTGGGGTAATTAGTAGGGAATTAGTGGAATTACTAGGTATTTTTTAAATTAAAATGGAATTATAATATATAAGGGGAATTAGTAAGGAAATAGAGGAATTAGTAGCAATCCTGAGAATTTGTGTACACATTTTCTTTTGCGGTTTACCCCGAGGGGTAAACCGCAGGGGAATTTTGGTGTACAATCTGTAGGAATTAGTAAGGAATTAGAGGAATTTGTGGAAAATTAAAGGAATTAGTGGGGAATTTGGGGAATTACTCGGTAAATTAGTAAGCAAATAGTGGAATTAGTGGGGAATTAGAAAGAAATTAGAAGACAATTTATGTCTCGTTTAGCACTTGAATATAAAGAAAAAAACCCGGAAGTTACAGAGCTACTCCATACTTTGCCAGTTCCAGATTGGGAGTAGTACCACTGCAGCATTAAAAAAAATGAAGAATGTTGTGTACAGCACAGCACCCATATTTTAACAAAAAAATAGTACTCGTTTCCTAAAACCAGGAATACATCTGCCAATTGGGAAATACACTGTCTTCTCTGGTCATCTCAGGGAATTAATTTTAAAGTTTCCAAAAGACAAACATCTCCTGACAGATTCGGATCTCAAAAGTGAAGACAAGATGAATTTTGCATCCGCAGAAAAAATGTGCAGTTTGATAGTAATTGAACGACTAAATAAGGAAATTCCACAAATTAAATAGAGCGTGGCGTATCTCAAGCTAATGTACTACATCGAATCGTCGTTCTTAAATTCCAGCACTGTGTTGCGTACTAGATTATCGCATCTGGTATGTTGTATTTTTTACTAGAATCTGGAAAGCCTGGATTAAAGAACAAAAAGAATATAAAATAACAGACAACTTTTTGACCAGTAATTGTAACCTTTGCATCGAAACGCCCATGCTTATACTGAAGCCTAACAGCGGTGAGTTAAAACCAGATATGTTCATCACCGGCATTTTTGGTAGCCAACAATAATACATTTTAGTATAAAGGATATGCTGAACCGAATTGAGAGAATTAAGACAACTGATACCATAAACAATCTGAGGGGGACTTTTACATTTCCAAGGGAAGACAAAAGATTAAAAACCAGACTAATAAAAGAAAATTTACCACGTGAAGAAGAAATTTTAAATTTGGATATCAAATCTACAGTTAAAAAAGCTCTACAAAATGTCATAGAGGACATGAAACATCTTGTAATTAATGAAAAAGAAAACGATTGGAAATATATGCAGGTAAGTACCGTTAACCGTTAATAAGACGGAAACAAAATATTGCAATTACCCAGGATAATGAAGACGCCGACGAAGACAACGCTAATATTGTCGAAAACCCCGAAGAAAATTGGCAAAAACAAATATTAGTAATGAGGACGATAAAGTTATGGATGGAGTTATGGACTTAATTTCGAACGAGATTTCTAATGAAGATCGCTAATGTGATACTTTGGAAACGAGTTGTATAAGTTTAAAAGACTTTTCTAAAAAAGTGCACAGTGAATCGGAAAAATCACCGTACCTATATAATATTATATATTCAATTATTAAAAAATCATCGTACTGCTGGCTTTTAGATCAGTCCGACGGTAGAGTAAGTACTGGCCGATTAAAAAGATTTATAGGCAGTACAAGGAAAACACCGAAGAAAACACCTTGCAAAAATTCCGAGTCGACCTTGACTATAAACAGAAGCTATGCATGGATCAAGCTAGTAGCACAAGCACTGTATCCTCCTCCGACTCTATCGTGATGGAACTCGACGACTCCGAAGATTTGGAGGAGTTTTCAGATGAGATCTTGTCGTATAAATCAGAAAATGTATCGAAATTTGCCGGAGTTACACTTAGAAAACTATTATGCGGTTTTCTATTACCAATCGTGAGCTTTGCTGCACGAGCGAGGCGAATGTAGAACACACTATTTAGAAATGGCCGCCTTTCACCACGAAATATGTACACTATTTTTTATGACAAAATAGAGAAAAATTGTTAATATTTAAGTTAATTCATAAACAAAAATATACCAAACTAAAGACAATAATTGGCTTAATTAATAATATTAATTATTAAAGAACTTATGTTAAGCGAAAGTCGAATTTATGCTGCTAGTGTCATGAAAAAGCATTGATTAATATAATACTTTTCTTTACGATTTTTCAAATGTGCTTAATAAAAGTGTTGCTGTGTAAAAAAGTTTTGCTAACCAGAAAACGTATACTTTTCTTTACTATTTCTCTTAGTAAAGTAAGTATGCTATTTTTCATTAAGAATACGAACAAATATAGCCTTAAAAAATATAACCTTTAAAAAGAATTACTATTATATTAATGGTAATTATTTATGTTAAAATGTATAGCAAGAAAAAAATAGAAACTAAAACCTTGAAGGTTTAAAAAATAATAGGGATATTTAAAATTTAATATAAAATTAATTAAAACTTTTTAAACCTCACATTTCTAATACAGACATTATTTTATAAACATGCAAAATATCAATATTAAAAATTACATAGAAGAAAAATCGCATGTTAAAAATTCATTTATATCTTATTAAAGTTGACTTTCTAGGAGACGCAA